GGGGGGGGGGGAGCCGGGGGGGGGGGGCGACGGAGCCGGGAGGGGGGGGGGCCGACGGAGCCGGGGGGGGGGGGCGACGGAGCCGGGGTGGGGGGCCGACGGAGCCGGGGGGGGGGGGGGCCGACGGAGCCGGGGGGGGGGGGGCCGACGGAGCCGGGGGGGGGGCCGACGGAGCCGGGGGGGGGGGGCCGACGGAGCTGGGGGGTCGGCCGATGGAGCCAGGGGGGGGGGCCGACGGAGCCGGGGGGGGGGGCGACGGAGCCGGGGGGGGGGGCGATGGAGCTGAGGGGGGGCCGACGGAGCTGGGGGGGGCGACGGAGCCGGGGGGTGGGGGGGGGGGGGCGACGGCGCGAGAAGAGGGAGCCGACACTGACTCACTCACACATCATGCACTGACTCACTCACATCATGCACTGACTCACTCACACCATGCACTGACTCACTCACACATCATACACTGACTCACTGACATCATACACTGACTCACTCACACATCATACACTGACTCACTCACATCATACACTGACTCACTCACACATCATACACTGACTCACTCACATCATACACTGACTCACTCACACATCATGCACTGACTCACTCACACATCATGCACTGACTCACTCATATCATGCACTGACTCACTCACATCATGCACTGACTCACTCACATCATACACTGACTCACTCACACATCATGCACTGACTCACTCACATCATGCACTGACTCACTCACATCATGCACTGACTCACTCACACATCATACACTGACTCACTCACATCATGCACTGACTCACTCACATCATGCACTGACTCACTCACACATCATACACTGACTCACTCACATCATGCACTGACTCACTCACACATCATACACTGACTCACTCACATCATACACTGACTCACTCACACATCATGCACTGACTCACTCATATCATGCACTGACTCACTCACATCATGCACTGACTCACTCACACATCATACACTGACTCACTCACATCATGCACTGACTCACTCACATCATGCACTGACTCACTCACACATCATACACTGACTCACTCACATCATGCACTGACTCACTCACACATCATACACTGACTCACTCACATCATGCACTGACTCACTCACATCATGCATTGACTCACTCACACATCATACACTGACTCACTCACATCATGCACTGACTCACTCACACCATGCACTGACTCACTCACACATCATACACTGACTCACTCACACCATGCACTGACTCACTCACACATCATGCACTAACGCGTTAATCATGTGCTTACTCACTCACACATCATACACTCGCACAACCACTGACCCATTCACTCATCATACACAGGTTCACTCATCGTGTGCTGGCTCACTCGCACATCATACACTCACTCCCACTGCCGCTGACTCGCTCACACATCATACACTCACTCACTCATCATGCGCTGACTAACACATCGTGCGCTGACTCACACATCATACACTCACTCACGCTGCTGCTGACTCACTCACATCATACAGTGAGGGAAAAAAAGTATTTGATCCCCTGCTAATTTTGTACGTTTGCCCACTGACAAAGATATGATCAGTCTATAATTTTAATGGTAGGTTTATTTGAACAGTGAGAGACAGAATAACAACAACAAAATCCAGAAGAACGCATGTCAAAAATGTTATAAATTGATTTGCATTTTAATGAGGGAAATAAGTATTTGACCCCCTCTCAATCAGAAAGATTTCTGGCTCCCAGGTGTCTTTTATACAGGTAACGAGCTGAGAGTAGGAGCACACTCTTAAAGGGAGTGCTCCTAATCTCAGCTTGTTACCTGTATAAAAGACACCTGTCCACAGAAGCAATCAATCAATCAGATTCCAAACTCTCCACCATGGCCAAGACCAAAGAGCTCTCCAAGGATGTCAGGGACAAGATTGTAGACCTACACAAGGCTGGAATGGGCTACAAGACCATTGCCAAGCAGCTTGGTGAGAAGGTGACAACATATTCTTAGTTTTTTCGGTAAAGTCACGTTGAAGAGAAACAAGGTTCCTGTACCTGACACCATTGCAATCATTGAAGACTTGGTTCATCAAGGACTAAACACTGAGGTACCCCCCCTTGTGAGACACTGTTTAACCAATACATACTTCACTTGGAATGGAACTTTCTACAAACAAACTGAGGGCACCCCAATGGGCTCCCCTCTTTCTCCAGTTATAGCTAACATTTTCATGGAGAAATTTGAGACTGACGCCATCCAGACTGCCACTCTGCGCCCAACCTTATGGAAGAGGTACGTGGATGACACTTTTGTCATCTGGCCACATGGCCGGCCTGCTCTAGACCAATTCTTCGACCACATCAATTCCATACACCCAGCCATCAGATTTACCATGGAAGTCGAAATAGATGGCAAGATACCTTTTTTGGATTGTCCTAATTAAAAAGAGACCTGATGGTTCAATGAGCCACTCTGTCTACAGGAAAGCTACCCATACGGATGCTTATCTGAAACCGGATTCCCACCACCATCCATCACAGAAGAATTCTCTCATCAAGACTCTGTATCATAGAGCCCAATGCATATCCGACCAGGAACACATAAGCAGTGAACTCAAGCACGTACACCAAGCTCTTAGGGCTAATGGTTACTCCGACTATACAATCCGCAAAGCTATCACTCAAACCATGAAGAAGAACCCTCTTGAGGAGCCTTTCAAAACCATCACTTTACCCTACATTGCTGGGATCACAAAAAAGATCTCCAAAATCTTGAATAAACACAAGATCCAGGTCCGTTTCAACACATTACATAAAATCCGTGATCTGGTTCCGTCTGTAAAAGATGTGATTCCGGACATACAATACCCTGGTGTCTACAAACTAAGTTGCCTCTGTGGTAGTAGTTACATTGGAGAAACCAAACGCCATGTCTCGGACCGCATTCGTGAACACAAGGCAGACCTTAAACACGGTAGGACCAACACCTCGGCCGTAGCAGATCATTGTTCTAATTGAGTGGGCTCACATGCCATTGACTTTTCCAAGACAGAGGTTCTTTGTAAGCCATCTGGCTTCCATGAGAGATTCGTTCATGAGGCTATCCACATATACAAGCACAGAGACAATTTCAACCGAGAAGATGGATTCTATCTTAGCAATCATTGGAAAGATTTGATAAACCATTTGAGTTCTTAATTGATTGTTCACGCTTACAGTGGCTTTCAGGCAGCATACATTATAAAAAAATTTAGTCTACCCCCTCCTCTTTTCAAAATATAGATGGACTAGTTCTGGGTAAACTGCCAAATCGCTGCGCGTGGCGCTAACGTTTTTTTATAAATAAATAAATGCGCCGTTTACAAATACATTTATGCAAACCAACACACCTGAAGATGACCGTTTGAGTTATGGTCGAAACGTCGTGAGAATTTTTTTGTTTTATATATATTTTATTATTTTGTTGTTTCTCTTCAACGTGACTTTACGAAAAAACTAAGAATATGAATTACTGCAGTCACGAAAGCTTTAAATCAAGGTGACAACAGTTGGTGCGATTATTCGCAAATGGAAGACACACAAAAGAACTGTCAATCTCCCTCAGCCTAGGGATCCATGCAAGATTTCACCTCGTGGAGTTGCAATGATCATGAGAACGGTGAGGAATCAGCCCAGAACTACACGGGAGGATCTTGTCAGTGATCTCAAGGCAGCTGGGACCATAGTCACCAAGAAAACAATTGGTAACACTACGCCGTGAAGGACTGAAATCCTGCAGCGCCCGCAAGGTCCCCCTGCTCAAGAAAGCACATATACATGCCCGTCTGAAGTTTGCCAATGAACATCTGAATGATTCAGAGGACAACTGGTTGAAAGTGTTGTGGTCAGATGAGACCAAAATGGAGCTCTTTGGAGGAGGAGGAGGAGGAATGCTGCCTATGACCCCAAGAACACCATCCCCACCGTCAAACGTGGAGGTGGAAACATTATGCTTTGGGGGTGTTTTTCTGCTAAGGGGACAGGACAACTTCACCGCATCAAAGGGACGATGGACGGGGCCATGTACCGTCAAATCTTGGGTGAGAACCTCCTTCCCTCAGCGAGGGCATTGAAAATGGGTCGTGGATGGGTATTCCAGCATGACAATGACCCAAAACACATGGCCAAGGCAACAAAGGAGTGGCTCAAGAAGAAGCACATTAAGGTCCTGGAGTGGCCTAGCCAGTCTCCAGACCTTAATCCCATAGAAAATCTGTGAAGGGAGCTGAAGGTTCGAGTTGCCAAACGTCAGCCTCGAAACCTTAATGACTTGGAGAAGATCTGCAAAGAGGAGTGGGACAAAATCCCTCCTGAGATGTGTGCAAACCTGGTGGCCAACTACAAGAAACGTCTGACCTCTGTGATTGCCAACAAGGGGTTTGCCACCAAGTACTCAGTAATGTTTTGCAGAGGGGTCAAATACTTATTTCCCTCATTAAAATGCAAATCAATTTATAACATTTTTGACATGCGTTTTTCTGGATTTTGTTGTTGTTATTCTGTCTCTCACTGTTCAAAAAACCTACCATTAAAATTATAGACTGATCATTTCTTTGTCAGTGGGCAAACGTACAAAATCAGCAGGGGATCAAATACTTTTTTCCCTCACTGTATACTGGGAGTGTCGTGCTGCCAGCTATGGCTGCAGTTTTTTTGTCGCACGTGTTATTTATATCGTTTATTGTTAAATTTAAAATCACAGTTCCTATGATTATTGTTGTTACGTTGTTTTTATAGCTTTATTTTGGCGATTCGAAAACATATGGTTAATCTAAATTGTCTTATGATTATTGTTGTTGGCTTGCACCACATTGATTTTTGCACACAGCGTTTTAATACGTTTTTTGTGTGTGTGGAATATTTGCTGGTTTATTCCAGAATGTTTCTGTTACACGTTGTCGCTTTAAGATGTTCTGTGTTCAAATTGTGTTTGTTGCGGTTGCACCCGACTTAAGAGCCGCATGGCTCACAGGGCTATACCTAGTAAATGAAACTTATTATTTTATTGTTTCCCTTCTACGTGACTTTACCGAAAGAACCAAGAATATGAATTTGAAACTTGTATTTACTTGGTGACGTCAGCACGTGCGCGCGCTTCAGCCGCAACGGTTTAACGCGATTACGTCGCCGCGCCCTCAAAACGTGCCCGCGCTGTACGTGATGACGTCACGCGCAGAGCCTTCGCTCCTTCCCCCGCGCCGCCGTGATTGGCTGGAGAGTCGGCACGTGACGCGGCGGTGTCGTTGGCGTTTGTTTTTGAACAAATGGCGGTGAGGGCGACTCGCAGGGAGGTGAGAGACGACGAGGACGAGGAGGCGGCGGCGGCGAGGGCGGCGCGGGGTTAGCAGCTCGCGGCAGTAGCGGGCAGCCAAGGGCGCACGGCTTCCCCGGCAATTGGCTGTCCTGAGGGGAGATTTAAAATGATAACGGCAAGGGACAGATAATGTGTGTGGACTGTGTGCGTGTGCAAGCGCCAACAGGTCTGGCTCGGCGCCTGAGTCTGGCTCGGCGTCTGAGTCTGAGTCTGGCTCGGCGCTTGAGGAGTCTGAGTCTGGCTCGGCGTCTGAGTCTGGCTCGGCGTCTGAGTCTGGCTCGGCGTCTGAGTCTGGCTCGGCGTCTGAGGAGCCTGAGTCTGGCTCTCTGTACACGGGACCAGGTCTAAAACGGTTGCTGAGCCCAGGCCCAAAATCCCAAGGGGCCAGCAACAAATAGCGCCGTCAGAGTTGTGATAAATAAAGATTGTAACACGTTTATTTAATTGAGCTGAAAATTGATGATGGGAGGGAATTCCAAAGTGGGGCAGGATAGAAGCATGAGGAGGAAGGAGTGCTGTGACCTGCAGTGTGGGTTAGTAGGTGTTTGCGTAACCGATTGAGTCGGTATGAGTGAGTGGATGAGCTAGCGAGTGAGTGTGGGTTAAGGGCTTGAGCAGAGGTATACGAGTGAGTGGGTGAAAGGGGTGAGTGTGTGTGGTGTGGGTAAGCGCTTGAATTAACTTGTGAGTGGGTGGTTGAATGAGTTCTGTTGTGACCCACAGTGTGGCGAATTGAGTGGGTGAGTGTGTCATTGTGATTAGACGAAACGGTCTGCTTGGGCCAGATCAGATATCGGTACCACCCAAGATGGCAAAACTTCAATGGTGCCATTTCATTTGTTACACCAACATAAGTAAAATAATACACGACAACCTTGACAAATGAGGAGCTGTTTAATTTTTCTCGCAGGAAACCTGTTTTTTGCACCTATCACAATCGCGCCTATTTGCCCGGACGTTACAAATAAAACATTCCAACGGCTCTGCTGTTAATTAAGACAAATAATTTACAGAATGCGTGTTTGTCCCCAAGGCATGTATTTCATACATGTTCTTGCAGTCATTCACGCTTGTCCATCAATTTCAGTGACTTAGGTCTGGAATAGATTGGCGCTCTCTGTTTTCCTTCTGACTCTAGCAGCTTGTTTGTTCATGATCATTTAGTGGCAGGTGAGGCAAGTACTGGTGGTTCTGTATTTCTGTTCAGTAAAGATATCTAAAGTGCTAACTTTATCCTTAATGCATTGTTCATGTACCTGTTAAGATTATTAGTTAAGGCCAGGGGCTACAGGCAAAAATCTAATGATTTTTTTGTTCAGTTTGTCAATTTTTATATATTTTTATATTTTGCTTCTATAAATTGTAAACCTTAATAACATGCACAAAAAAAAGTTATTGGTAATAATTGATGATTAAAATAATAAAAACTAACTATATTTTATAAAGCCTTGACCCGGGTCCTCCACGAGGGGACACAGAGTGAGGGGATTGATGTTGTTTCTGATGTCTACTGACAGACTTCAATCAAAGATGCTGAACGACTGAACCGGGGATTTAGGGGGAATCTAGATTCATAAAATGAATAATGTACACGTGTTTTATAATCACGGAAATAACTATGAACACTAGTATACTGCTATCACAAAAATATCTGAATTAATCGCTTACAGTATAATCACGGAAACAAGTAGGGTATTAATAATATATGAATAAACACAAATATAAGAGATGCTCACTGAACGACTTATATTCAAAGACTGAACGAAAAAGCTGGCGCGTGGCGCGAACGTCGTTGGAAAGTTGGGGATGAAAGAGGAAAGCACGTGGACGAAATTTTAAATGTGGTTATAATTGAAAACGGCCAAAAGAGCGAAGCGATGAAAGTCAAGGTTTCACTGTATAAGATACAAAAAAACAATCCACCAACACGGTCCAATTGACTCTTGCCTTCTAACTTGATTCTGAGCCACCGTATGCTTCCGTTTCTTTTTTCCGTCTTTAGTTGGCGTTGGAAAAGGTGCTCGGGATTACGTTATCATCAAGCAGTGGACTCTGCTGTGATCCCAAGACCGGCTTAGTTGCCTACCCTGCAGGGTGAGTGAAAAGTGTGATGTGTGATGTACGCCTGCAGCTTACAGCGGAACTGGACTTTGGGTGCTCTGCCTCCTTGGTGTTATCGCACATCATACCTGTGAAGTCATACCTGTCAACCCGTGTACGGTTTACCCATATTCGTGTAAAGGGAAATTGAGTTTAAGAGGTCCATACGGTGTACAGCCGCATGGCTATACACCGTATGTTTGTATTTCTCCCTCGTGATGGGACTGTGTAGGATGAACGTTGAGATTTATAAGGGCATGGGGTGACCAATAAGGTCTGAACTGGTCTGTAATAAGGTATGGCACATGCAAAAGCCCTATGCAATCTCCTGCTGGATGGGGTGCCTCCGTGGGTCGTGCTGCTCGTGAAGGTTGTTGACCGCCCCTCCGCACACGCTGGTCAGTGGCGGGTTGGTAAATGTGGGGGAGCAGAGAAGTACAGTACAACAGTGCGTTTTTCTGCACTGCCCTCGGCTATGGTTTTGTACTGTACAGAAATTAATGTTTATAAAATATAAATTGCATAGTATACTGCACTTGTTATCCTATCGGAGACCAAAAATTATTGCATTTCAGTTCAAATGCTTGTCTTTTGGCTGGAATGCAGATTATTTCTGTATTGTAAACATTGGACAGTGTTGCTGAAATATGGGTTGTTGAAAGGCTTGTTTTCATGCTGCATCCATTTGCGGTTTCTTTTCAGATGTACTGTGGTCATCTTCAACCCAAAGAAAGGGAAGCAGACCCATATCTTCAATGCATCCAGGTAGAAGCTTCATAATTGCTTTGTTATAACTTGTATTCAGACCTAGATGTAATTCGAATACCAGAGGCATTGTAAGCTGACCTGTAAAGGAGCTGCATGAGGTAGTGACGTGGCCCAGTAGTAGCGCATTCTCTGATTGTTGCAGAGGTTTGCGGTTCGACTCCAACAGGCCACCCTGGTCATTACTAAAGGTGTATGCACCGTGAAATACTAAGCGACGTCTGCATCATTCACAGTGGACGCTAAGGGTCCCGTGTTGTCACTCGCAGAAGAGTAGGCCACTGTGCTGGCATCATGGTCCAAATTTTAGACACGCAAAAATACAAATTGCTTAATTGGGAAATACATTGCAATTATTTAATCACACCATACTGCAAAAACACTTTGCAGGATCCCCCTGAAAAAGAGATTGAGGCTTTCTTGGGTAAACCAGTGTAGTAATAATAATACATGCTGCTGAATTTATTCGTTATTGACATAATTTCTTTGGACTGTGCAGGAAGCCCATTACGACGTTGGCGTTCTCGCCAGATGGGAAGTATCTCGTGACGGGCGAGGTGAGAGTCATTTGCTTTGTGCAAACTCACGCTGCGCTTGCCACACCTAGGACGTTCACGCGGTCGTGCAAACTATTACGAAAAATTACGTCCGCAAAGTTAATCTCAATTATGCTATCGGCATCGCGTTACGGGGCAAGGATTTTTTTTCTTTGGATTGCTCGCTGAGCGGCGCAACTCTCTCTGTGCGTTCGAGAACGACGCGGTATGAGGCAGAACTTTCACCCGCCCTGAAACCAAGAGTAAGGCTAGTTACATCAGAGGCAAAACTAATATTTTTTTTCTTTTCAGAGATGGAGTTTATCCAAATTAAGTGCAGAACTGAAATTGATGATGTTTTCTCTTTAGTGCAGTCATTAGGCTGTAACCATCAACTGACTATACTTGAGAACACAGACAAAGATCCCCCATATAGCCTGAACAGACTTTTGGGGCAATTGTTGTTTGCGAGCACCTCTGAAGGTAACCACAGAACACGAGGGGGTGGGTGGCCAGCACCACGCCCGGCCGCCTTTGTCTCCCTAGTGGCGTTTACACATCATACCAGGTACTCATTTGAGGCTGAGTCGACCTAGGGGAGGCTCAGGCCCGGTTCAGATAATTTCCGCTGGTGTTGGCTGTGAGCAGTAATCCAACCAATGTCGCCAGGTTCGTAGTGCAGCACGCTGACCGCTACTACAATATCGCTCCTCACACAGGAGAACAGCTTTAAGTCACAAACCCAGAAACTCAGCAGAGTCAGGTTACTGCTTTGACCTCCGAGCCACCCGGCTGACCACCACATTCCGATTTTTTTTTTACTGGCAACAGAAAACAATTTGCCCGAATTAAAATGGAGCTCGAGTTCAGCCTTTCCAGATTATGATCTGTATATCTATTACACGCTTTAACAAGTGGTTAATGACCGTTGTCTTCATACAAACACAACTATTTACATCCATAGTTGCATAAAAAAATGTTCTCTGCATTATTCCGTTATGAACGTGTGCGCGGTGGTCTTGATAACCATTTGGTCGTCTGGTGCCGATGCGTACAGAGCGGCCACATGCCGGCCGTGCGGGTGTGGGATCTGGCGGACAGGACCCAGGTCTCCGAGTTCCAGAGGCACAAGTATGGTATCTCGTGCGTGGCCTTTTCCCCGAACGTCAAGTACGTCGTGTCCGTGGGCTACCAGCACGACATGATGGTCAACGTGTGGGACTGGAGGGTGAGTTTCTGGGGCGGTGGGCGCGGTGTGGCTCATGTGTTTGCATCACGCGAGCAGCGACGTGGCCCAGCGGCAAACTAGGGCCGTATTATCCAATAGGCCACAGTATGCATCGTGCCTAGGGCCCCCTCACTCACTCACCCACCCACCAGGGTCGTATTATCTAATAGGCCACAGGCACCGTGCCTTTGTGTTTATGATAATGTAACCAGGATATCTTATATAGCAAGGATAGGCACAGTGTATATACAGAGGCGAGAGAAATGTACACCGGAGATGAACTTTTAGAGATGTTTTCATAGTAAAACTCGCAAATAAAATCTTCAAATGGGTTTTTTTGCACAATCTCATTCTCAATAGAGAGCAGTGCAAGGGAAGACAAGGCGGCGTTGTCCTATGATTGATTGGAGACAGTTTTTTTTTAGCGGCTGTCGTTTCATGGGGGAGCAGTACAAACTGTAGAAAGTAATCACTGAAGGCCTACGGAACAGAAGTGCCTAGTGCCTACAAGAACCTTCATCCGGCCCTGCGGCAAACGCGTTGTGCCGCTCGTCGCAGAGGCTCGCCGTGAGCATCCCGTGGGCTGCCCTGCTGGTTACCGCGGGCGTTAAAGGTGCTACGCTGCCGTCGGCCTCGCTCACGGTCGATGTTACAGATCCCGTGATATCATGTGAAATTAGAAGGCCGTTGTGTGCCGGAGTTGCTCTCCAGATTTTCCAAATTCAAGAAATTATACCCGCAAATTACTCAAATGGGATCACACACAGTAACATCAACCACTGCTGTGAAATTATTACAGATAATGTCTGAAAGTTAGTGCATTTCCTGATAGACCTGCGTTTTAAAAATGGCACGAATGCTAATATGTACGAACTTGTTATCACAAAATATGTTATGTTTTGCTCGTTGCTGTTAATGAATTAAAACTAAACTGTTTTACCAGGTAAAACCCACTGAGCTATTCGTTGCTTTTCAGAGATGATCTGGCCACAAATGATAGCTCATTGAAGTGAATTACATCATCATCACACCTGGGAATTTATAGCAGAAGCCAAATAATCTAAATGCTCGTTGTTTCCAAATGTGGAGGGGAACACCTAGAGAACAATTCATGTGACCCCAGGGGGGGAGAGAGAGACACGCAAACTCGAAACGTAAGGCATAGTCAGGGTCAGGATCGAACTTGCGAGCTGGTGCCTCCAAAGGTGCTGATGCGTCCGCATGCCGCCCCTTGCTACCCTTGCTGCCGACGATGGCGTTGAAGTTGTTGTTATTCCCGTGGGCAGAAGGGCGCTCTGATCGCGTTCAACAAGGTGTCCAGCAAAGTGACCGCAGTTTCCTTCTCATCTGACAACAGCTACTTTGTGACGGTCGGTAATCGTCACGTCCGCTTCTGGTACCTCGACGCCTCCAAAGCCTCCAAGGTGTGAGCAGTTACCGCTTCTTTTTCCTCTTAATCTTCTGCTTCCTCCTTTCCTCTTCTTCCTCCTCTTCCCTCCCCCCCCTTGTACAGATGTAAGGATGTTAGACATCCTTTGATTGCGTCTTTGTCGGACATGGAGGGAGGGTGACATGGATATCATTAACACCATAACCGCCGCAAGGGGGGCGCTACTGCAGAAGGATAGCTAGGATGTGACTTGCTAGATGGTGATTGGTTGAGAGGTTTGAAAGAGGGAGAAGGCGGGAATGTTTGAAAGAGGCAAGGGGGGATTCGTTTGGGACTGTTAGAAGGGGAGCAGAGGGATTTGTTAGAAGGAATGCATGGGCTGGGGTTGGAGAGGAGGATAACGAGGGTGGGGGAGCGAGGGTGGCTTGGCAGAGGAAATCAAAAGAGGGTGGTGTTGGCTAGCGGTGGCACTGGACGTTGGTGTTAAGGACAATCAAAACTTTATCCAAGAAGTGCCGCCTTTGGAGTCCTTCATTACACAGCCTTGAACAGACTATGCTGCTAGCAAGTGCTGTTAGCGAGCACCTATTAATAGTAACGCTAATTATTTGGCCACAAAAGCCATGCTTAAGTCATAGGACTCGTTTTCGCGAGTGTGTTGCTGCATTGGGTTTTTATTTTAAGATGTTTTCATCATACATGCGGGAGGAAACACCCGGAGAAAGCTCACGCCTTGCGTGAGGGGGCAACACTCTATCCCCTGTACAGATGGAAACAGATGATGATTATAATCTACAGAACCTACGCTGTATGAATACATCACCTACTTTGGTGGGAATCTATGGAATCAACGATGATATTTGTTTAATGGTGATGGTTGTGATGATGATAAATAACGATGGTGATACCTTGACGATATGATATGATGATGTTATATGTGCAGTGTATTCTCATACCCAGTGTTTGTCACGATATAATTGATAGCCTAGGAACGCCTTCATACAATGGAGGTTACTTTAAAATACAGACTTAGCACCTTGTTAAGTCCGTATGATTATTTTGGATCTGTCCACGTCTGCACAAATTTGTGTTGGAAGGACCCTCCACCACCCAACGCAGCCAACATATATGCAATCGCCATGCGTATAAGCGTTTAACAACAGCGTGCAAATTATTATTGCTTTAACTCCCTCACCGGTGAGTATGGAGTACAATGCCCACAGACACATCCAGCAGCCACTCGATAGACGACGTGTCGCCTGAAGTCGGGGATACAAAATCTTGTTTCCTCACCCGATGTCAGGTGACGCGGTTATTCCGACTTCCTGGAGCCTGTCCCGACCGTGCTTTTGACGCAGTTTTAAACTAAGTCGCGGGTATCCGTTCGCTACATTTGTTTCCGTTAAACACTTGTACACGTGACAGGTTAATATGTTCGGCCTATGTCGGGTGGTGGAGGTTTTCCGTGATGAGAAAAAAGGATCAGATCGCTGCGTGGCCTAACCCAAAATTTTTTATTTTGAATCGTGACATTGGCAGGCGAGGCCCACACGTGAACCTCGTGTTGGGAGACTGCTCGACTGTATGTCTGGTCTCGTCGGTTTCAGGCGAACCTGACGGTGCCACTTCTCGGTCGCTCCGGACTCCTCGGAGTACAGCGCAACAATTTCTTCTGCGACGTGGCGTGTGGACGGGGGAGGATGTCGAGCAGCACGTACTGCATCACGTTCTCGGGGCTGCTGTGCGAGTTCAACGACAAGCGCATGCTCGAGAAGTTTGTGGACCTGAAGGTTCGAGCGCATTCTGTAATTGCGTGCAGATTATTTATCTGCAATAAATGTCCACGTGATTATGAGCCACTTTGTTGTCCTGACATTTGTGGCCAGGTCACTTCTGAATATTTAAGTTTTATTTGTACATATTTAAAAGTGATTTTTGTAACCTTTCCTATACTTTTGCACTCTTATCATGTTTTTGTACTGTTTGTTGTTGTAACGCTCTGACCCGCCCCCACTGGACATCTTTGGAAAAGAGCTTTGTAGCTCATCGGATTCCTCCATTATAAATAATTATTCTGATTCTGAATTGCAAATACCTTCACACGTCTACTTATTGATTCATGTGGCCTCTGTAGAGCAACTGTTAAGAGATTCAGTTGTAAAAGATTTAGCCATTCTGATGCTTTGTGGGTTTGTGAATTATAGACCCTACCCACCCACTCAATAGAAGGCGCTAGTACTTTATGTCCATACTTTTGAGTGGTCTTCCTTTATACGGCACCCGACAGTATAAATTGTAGGTCCAAGCTGTCTGGTGGATTATCGTGGAGCCCCGTTGAGATTCACCGGAATGGACCATCACAGCGCTCGGTGTATCGTCCACCACTGGTGTAGGCTATGCACCCTGTCAGTGCAGTCTCCTGTCGGATTAAGAGCACGTTCAACACCTAGACCTTGTGTAAACCATCTCGTCCCCATCCACCCACCCGTGCATTTGCACGCAAGCCGACGCATGTGCATACCCGCCTCACGCATGAACAATCTGGGACGTCTCCGTTCACTTGCGGAGTCTCTGCAGGGCTTTGTTGGCGTGTGCAGGGCGAGTCAAAGAGCCTGCGTTATTCATGGTGGTGCAAGTTTACAGACGGAGGAAAGTGAGAGGCGACGAGGCGGCAGCACGCGACCGGATGCCCTCCCTGTTTGCCGTGCGTCGTTCACGCGCTTTCTCGGGTTGCGTGCGCGCGTTGCTTGGCGACCCTTCTAGACGCCGATGGCGAGCTGCATCTACGTGAGCGAGGAGCTCATATTCTGCGGCTGTGCCAACGGAGTGGTGTGCGTGTTCGGCGCGGAGGACCTGCGCAATGTGGCCATCCTGCCCAGGCCGCACTGCCTGGGCGTGGACGTGGCCCTGGGCGTGCAGCCGAGGTCGGTATCGTTTGTAGGGGGGTTTGTTGAAAAAATCCGAAGAGGTTTCACCCTATCTAGCAATAAAACAGGAAGTGGTATGTTCAAACACCAAATAGAAACCTGTTGCAAGGAATCGAGTCTGCGTTTGTGGTGAACATGCAAACAAACATGCTCTAATAATATATGCAATGTTGAAACTGATTGGCCTACACCAGAGATAGCCTTCTTTAGGGCCTAGTCTCACCGGCCGGTGTCAGACCAGAGAATGCCACAAGGCAGACAGTACAAAGACAATGCACTATCAGAGTATTTATAGCTCGGGGTGAGCATCTACAAAATGGGACCTTTTTGCCCGTAACATAGTATTGCCAGAAAGGGTAAAACTTATTCTTATTATTTCACACGTTTATACTGGCAAAAAGGTCCCATTTTGGGTTTCTTGTTGTTGTAGTAACAAAGTTGCTGAGCACAGGCCTTAAAAGCCCAAAACGTCAAGCGCACAGAAACAAAACAGCACTTGAATTGTAATGAGCAAGGTTGTGATGAGAAGAACTTGGGGGGGGGGGAAATAGATGATGACGATTATGACGGTGGCGGTGGGAGGGGATTCCAAGTTAAGCAGTGTGAGGGAAGACGCAGAAAGAAAAGTGTCGTGACCTGCATGCAGCGTGGCGAGTGAGTGAGTTGGTGAGTGTTGTAACCTGCAGTGTGGTGAGCGTGCGAGTGAGTTGCCGAGTGAATGCGTTATGACCTGCAGTGTGGTGAGTGAGTTGGTGAGTGAGTGTGCTGCTTATGATCCGCAGTGTGGTGAGTGAGGGAGTTTGTGCGCAAGTGCCTCGTGGCCTGCAGCGGTGTGGTGAGCACGATTCTCGGGCCTGCCGAATCTTTTCCCGTCGTGGCGACGTCGACACGCCCGTGATTCTTCCCTCCCAGCCACCTGTTCGGCAGCAAGCTGGACGCGCGGTTCCCGGACACCGTGGCGCTGACATACGACTCGAGCAACGCGTGGCTGACGTGCGTCTACAACGACCACAGCCTGTACACGTGGGACGTGCGCGACGCGCGGCACGGCAAGCGCTTCGGCAAAGTCTACTCGGCGCTCTACCACAGCTCCTGCATATGGGGCGTTGAGGTATGGACACACGCGTGCACACACCGCCTTGCGCGCCGCCACACAGATATCACCGCACACACATCGCCTTGCGCACACTGCTGCGCTCACCACCACCGCACACGCCACCGCGCACGCCGCCAAAGACATCACCACGCACACCGCCGCGCACACCGCCACCACGCACACCACCACGCACACTGCCACGAAACACCGCCACGCACACCGCCCACCCACATCGCCACCATGCACACCACCACGCACATCATTGTACCCAGGGCCATATGCACACTCGTGGCCCAGCTCAGATTTTCGCCGCTAGGTGTGTGATGCCCCACAGCACTGTGTGTGTGTGGTCCCAGGCTCGGTGCGCACAGAACCGTGTTATGGCTGTGTGTGTGTGTGTATGGTGCCGGGCTAGGTGCACACAGCACTGTGTTGTGGTCGTATGTGTGTATGCTTTGTGCCGGCTAGGTGTACACAGCACTGTGTGTGTGTGGTGCTGGGCTAGGTGTACCCGGTGCTCGAAGAGAGCAGCCCAGCGTGCCTCCCTCCTGGCTCGTTCCTCACCTGCTCTTCCGACAGCACGATCCGCGTGTGGAGCATCGACGCGCCAGCTGCTACCCACGCGCCGCCCTTCCACCGGAACGTCTACAGCAACGTACGCCTCGGCCGTGCACGCACACAGCTGTCGGAACACGCTCGCCTGGCGCACCGGTGCGGGTCACGGCGCTGAGCTTCCAGGGTTCGAGTCCATATTTTGGCCGTCCGGGATTAAACCGTGTGCTTAAGTTTAAGTAAATTTTGTTTCACCAGGTGAGACACTTCGAGAAAACAATAATAGGAATTTAAATGTATAAAGCACCCTTAAACAAAAGTTATATGGGCGCCACAATCGTTCCCAAAGGTAGTCTCATTTGCCGGAATGACCTGGGGCGTTAGTCTGCCAGCACGGGGGAGTCCTCGCTTCAAGTCGATTCAATCAACTTTAAAAAAATAGCGTACACTGAAACGTAACCCCCGACTTCACTTTATTCCTTGTGAGGGGCAAAATAGGTTTGCCTGAACGTCGCTCCGATTTAAGTCGCACTTATCAGCAACGTAACTGCGATGTTCGGCGAGGACTCGCGGTCGTGGGCGACCAATCGCCGCGCGTACTCCCCAAATTGAGTCCTTTTTGAATTTGGCAAATGTGGACCCCTGACGCACAGTGACGGGATCTTTCAACGTGCACTCCGCAGCAGACGCCTATCATTTTACAAACGTTACAACCGTGCTATTAACCGCGGCGGCCGCTGGGTTCTAACCGTGAACCCTCTGGATCAAGTTATTGCCGGGGCCACATCCACTGGCCCATGTTCAAACACCAAATAGATACCTTTTGCAAGGAATTAAGTCTGCAATAACCACACGTGCTTGTGGCAAAACGTGGAAACAAACATACTCTGATAACATATGCAGTGTTGTTGAAACTGATTGGCCTACACCAGAGACAGCCTTCTTTTATGGCCTTGTCTCGCCAGTGTTCGACCAGACGGTAAAAGGTACAAAGACAATGCACGTATCATAACACTTATAGCTCGGGTCGAGCGGTTATATCTAAAGGATACCGGTTTTTTTGGATACTGCAAAAAAAGGTCCCACAGATAGAAATGTAAATATCGGTTCGACTGCCACGTGACAAACATGTCTCACTGTGGTAGTGATGCCCTCTGTTTTTGAGCTAGAGGCCACTTGCAACTGCTCAGGAAAAATTCAAACTCCACGTCTCCCTCCGTAATTAACACAGTTTCTCAATCAAGAAAAATGCTGTGCTGCGCATCTCTCCCAACGTGTTTTCGGGTTGCACCGCGTGTTGTTTGGCACGATGTCCGACGTTTTGCTCAAAGGTGCCAGGAGCTGCTTGGGAGAATCCTTCTCAGTTCCTGAAAACATGTCAGAGAGCTATGTGTTAATCGCCTGACAGCCAGGCAATGAATGGCGGGCTGATATATATGTGTAGATCACACCTGACACTGCTTTGCAATAAATAGATCACACCTGACACTGCGATGAAATAAATATCTCTCCGTAAAGACGCAGTCGTGGATCCCTCGTCGATCTCGCACCGCGTCATGTCGCTGAACGGTCGAAAAATGCTTTCCTCGTTGGGCCGCAGGAGCTGCTCAAGGTGATGTACTGCGACGAGAGCTTGCAGTCGCTGCAGGACCTGGACTACAACCCCGCGGGCAGCACCGACAAGACGGACCACACGCTTACCGAGGCCAAGCTGGGCATCCGGGCCCTGTGCGTGAGCCCCGACGGGCAACACCTGGCCTCCGGGGACCGCATCGGCACCGTCCGGTGAGCAGCCCGAACCCCTCGCCGGGGAAATCGCCGCCGCGCAGTCGAGTCGGCAGGCCGTTTGAAAAAACGCTCCGCCCTGCGCACCGGATTCACAGAGTCCCTCCGATACTCGCGGCGTCCCCACGCCCCCCCGAACCATGTTGGGCATGAGGCGCTCTCGAAGCAAGGCGCGCCGCGTTTCGCAGGCGGGTATCTGTCTGCGGTGATTTCGCAGGAAGGGCCGACTGTTTGCTAAGTGGATTCTATCCTACATAGGTAATTTGCAGGTGGCTTTTTGAATTTGGGCTGTGATACTGGTGCATAATGCCCTCCGTCCCTCCTTAGGCATCTGCTGTGACATGGGACGGTGCATGATTTTTTTTTTACGGTTGATACACCCACAGTATTTTCCAAGCTTTAAACTTTTAAACTCCTTTTACAAGGGGGGTCGCGCCGCTCGAACCACAAACCCCTACAGTGAGCGTCAAACACGGTACCGCAGTGATGCGCGTGTAGCGTCATGGCATCCTGGTGTGTGCCGTGCCGGCAGACTGCGTTGTTGGAGAGCTTTGTTGTACACTAAACTTGTGTTTATTTTTCGTTGTTTCGGTGACCCAGGGTCATTCTTGCAAATGAGACTCATCCCAGTCTCTTTGAGTTCTCACCTGGTTAAACAAAATTAAATTGGAAGTTTGATACTTGAGTCCGTCCCGTATATGATGTGACCTGATCGCAACGTGGACTTTGTGACAGGATCCACGACCTGCAGTTCCTGGACGAGGTGATGCAGATCGATGCCCACGACTCGGAGGTGCTCTGCCTGGAGTACTCCCAGCCCGAGACAGGTGATGCCCGCTTACCGTGAATTGTCGTCGCCAGCCATTGTCTCTCCACTGCTGAGTGAAGGCCTCCCCCCACGCTGTTGCCATCTGGCCACGGTCCATTGCTGCTGCTACAGAGAGGAGGCCGCAGCTCTGATCAAACGCATCATTAACATTGTTGTTACATTTGTAGTGTCTTCAAAAATTACTCACACCGACACGTAACAAGTCACCTGCTTACACTTTATTCACATATTCTTGCACCAGTTGTAGGCACTCCTATAACTAACTATGCGGTGACTTTTGGTTAACTTCTCCCTACTCTTATCTACCTTCCGCCGCCATTATCCTGCGCTCAGCAGCTCTGCTCTCAGCAACTTCGCACACAGCGTCTCCGCACACAGCGTCTCCGCACACAGCGTCTCCGCACACAGCGTCTCCGCACACAGCGTCTTCGCACACAGCGTCTTCGCACACAGCGTCTCCGCACACAGCGTCTCCCGCACACAGCGTCTCCCGCACACAGCGTCTCCCGCACACAGCGTCTCCGCACACAGCGTCTCCGCACACAGCGTCTCTACATCTCCACCGCTGCCCTCACCTACGCTCCCTCAGACCCGCTCACCCGTCTGTCCCGGGCGGAGGGATCAGCCAACACCCGCCCGGCGACGGTGTGAGGGTTGTGAGTCCCATTGATGGCTGGAGCGGCAGCGGCGAGATGTCTTCACACTTGGTCCCCGGCAACAGCTCCCCGCTCTGCTCATGCACACACCCTTATAACCCTCTGCTAATTATCCGAGACCTCTCGTGCGTCTCTTTAAGCTCTCGCCAGGCTGGCATCTTTCGGCCCATCAACCCTTATCTCCCGTCTCCCTGGCAACACCTCCGGTCTCAGCGTGCACAACCGGCCGACCCCCTTTGTACCTGCTTCACCCCTTACAACTGGCGGTTTGTCCGTGCAAACCTCACGCGCAGACCTGTTTGGCCTCAGTTGCCCTCGGTTAACTGTGCGCACCGCGTATTTCACTACTCTACACATTTTGTTACGGCGTCTCTATTTGCACGACGATGACGATCAATCGTAGTGGGCTGAGGTGCTGTGCTGGGACGACTTGGTCGCTTGTGAACCGCAGGCGTGAAGCTGCTAGCGTCTGCCAGTAGAGACCGGCTGATCCATGTGCTGGACGTCGAGGACAACTACGACCTCACGCAGACGCTGGATGACCACTCCTCCTCGATCACCGCTGTCAAGTTCATCGGTAATTGCGCGTGCGATTTCTCCTTGGCCATAAAGCTCCGAATAGCTCTTGCTTAGAGCTCTGTGTTCTGTAAAAGTTGGGTTTTTTTGCGGGTTAAATCACGTAAATGCAAATGTGTCGTTAAACCCCACCACCGCCCGACACAGCCAATTAGTAAGAGTTTTGTCACGTAAACAAAAACATGCCAGTTCGTTACTAGTTCAGTTCTAACCGGTTGTGTGTTGGAGAGTAAACCCACTACAACATTTACAATTTGAGTTCCGTGATGTTTCGCCGGTAGTTACAACATAGAGGGATAAATGTGAGCCAATCAGATGTGAAGACTAGAGGGGAGGGGTGTTAATGTTATGCACATAAATTACAATGGATACCATTATTGGTTGGGTTATTCACAGGTAATCAACATAGATTATGTGTCAATATTACGCATGCACATTGTGAATGTATGTACGTTATGTATGTACGTTATTTAACACGTAGGCTTTCACGACCAATATCCATAATATAGGTTTTTTTTTCGGGTTAGATCATGTAAATGTTGTTAAACCCACCATCACCTGACACAGCCAATTAGTAAGGTTTGTCACGTAAACAGAACATGCCAATTCGTCACTAGTACAGCACGCTTGTGTATTGGAGAGCAAATCCACAACATTTGCAATCTGAGTACGACGTTTTGCCAGTAATTACAACTAGAATCATCAACTATCACCCCCCCAAAGAAAACGTATATATGAACGTTATGTATGCACATTCTTATGTTTGGCCGGTTCAGGTCGACCTTTTTGATCGGTGCGGTTCGCCGTGTGTTGCAGCATCGCACGTTGCAAGTCATCAAAAGACGTTATTGCTGCTGCATTGGCAAATCTCTGTGCTTTTCCCCTCTGGAACCAGGAGGCGCTGAGCAGCTTAACATGGTGAGCTGCGGAGCTGACAAATCCATCTACTTCCGCACAGCAATGAAGGTATGATGTCACAACACTTGACTGCCCTGTTGAATGTTTGTTTGTTTGGTAGCGAGTAGTTTGGGTTCGAATCCCGACTCGGGCCTGGAAAATTCGGAGCGCGACACCGGCACACGATGGCCGTCTCATTTCAAATGACGTCACGGAACGCGTTAATGTCTACTACTGCGAGTGAAGCGGGTGGCGTGTAGCATTTACAGTTAATATGCGCTGCAGTAATAACCACCTCGGCCTGCCAGGTTGGAGCCACGAACCTTCGTAACGATCAGCGACAGCGCTTTCGCGAGGGTCAGGTCGCCGGCCCGAGTAAATTTACGCGAAAAATAAATAAAAATTAAATACATGGAAATAAATAACTGAAACTAAATAGAACAAATGAAATTTATTCAACAAAATTTCAATCAATAAAATAAAGTGTCGGTCTGTTTCCCCCAGTCTCCGGATGGACTGAGGTTCTCCAGGGTTCACCACGTAGTCGCGAAGGCCACGCTCTACGACATGGACGTGGACGCGACGGGGAAGTACGCCGTCGTCGGCTGTCAGGACCGCAACGTCAGGTACGGCACGGCGTCCATCCGAGTCATCACTAATTGTTCCCTAGCCCGCCCCACGACCCATTCATCTCCCCCCTTATAACCAAACACTGTTGCTGTTCCCTCTTCACATTCTCATTTTATGGCTATAACTCATTCATTCAATCCATTCGTCATCGTCATTTACTGTCATGAATTTCGCTTTCACAGAATTCAGGCATCACAGATTCGCTCCCCACATAGCTTCCTGTCATCTATTTCATTCACCTCATCTCCACCATTACATTCACACACGTTGTACCATTTCTTAATTCTCTGTAAAGTGCCTCGGTTAAGGCGCAATTTAAATTACGTTAAGATTAAGATATATAAATTACGTTAAGATAAGATCATCATCGTTACACCGCTCCTCCCATGCCGACTTGCATCTGTGAAAGATTTGTATTCTTATTACTTTTTATTAAACACAGTTTGCTAAGAACTTCGGGGAAAAGAGGCGCAACGATGGCAAGGGGAATTCCAGAAGTGAGGGGCTGCTGTTTTCCGTGATGTAAAATTAGCATTCTCTTCAATTCATCATGATGATGATGATGCTTATAAAGTAAAAAAAAATTGTAACAATGTTAATGGAGTAGAGGAAAAGCTGTTTTGCGCTGACGGTTCCATGTGAACATGAAAGTGATGTTTATTTATCACGGTTTTTTTTTTGCCATTGTGATGGACCAAAGCGAGGCCATATGTATGAACAATTAACACCCAGTCTGCGCAGTGGTTAATGTACCACGGTACGAACACTTACAGCCTGCAGTGACACACGCGGTGCAACGACACAGTGCACTGATGCGCGGCGGTGCAATGGCGTGCTGCTCAATGGCACGTGACGAATGTTGAGATTGTGGCAAGAGCATTTTCAATGCGGTTAGAGGTAGGAATGCGCCAAAGCTGGCAAACACTGCTTTTCCTTGGCAAACATCCCCCACAGGATTTTCGATGTTTCAAGTGGGAAACAGAAGAAGTGCTACAAGGGCTCCCAGGGGAAGGATGGCTCTCTCATCAAGGTCGGTTGGTTACAACGCTCGCATACTTCCTGGCCTCTGACCTAACGATGTTTGACGCAGTTTCGAGCGACACGTCGTATATTTTTGCTGAATTTGTCCGTGAGAATTGTTTTTCAACTTGCCAGAGAGCTGAAACAATAGTTGATGCGTGATTAAACGCTTGTGTACCGCGTGATTACCTCGCCTTGTATGCAGGGGGTTGTGGGTTTGATCCCGACCCTGAGGCCTGTATATTTGGAGTTTGCATGTCTCTCTACCCATGGTCACGTGGATTGGGCCAGATCATTGCGTGGCCTAACCTGGAAAATCAGTAAATTAATCAACAGTCCGTGTCTGTAAACTTGCCTTCAGTTGCAGATGGATCCCTCCGGGATGTACGTAGCCACCAGCTGCTCCGACAAAAATCTCACGCTCTTTGATTTCTACACGGGAGAGTGTGTGGCCTCCGCCTTTGGGCATTCAGGTGACATTCACAACTTACAAACAACATACACACACACACGCATGCATGTGTAGTGGCGTTTATTCACGTGGACAACTTAGTATTTTTCTCCTGTGTCACTTTATTCGTAGCATCCCACACGGATGCTCCTCACGTTCAACACCACAATCTCCTGTCGCGAACTCTACCTCTCATGCTCCGCTAACCTGCGACTCCGAGCTCGCGCCCTCTGGCTCCGCTAGCCTGTTACTCCGCATTCCGCTAGCCTGTTACTCCAAGCTCACTCTCCCTGGCTCCGCTAGCCTGTTACTCCGCATTCCGCAGTTGCGCACAATACAGTACACGGCTTCCCTGAAGGCATACCACGGGAGTGAAGGCCCAGCGAGTGCGATGCCGATCACACACGGTTCGAATTCGACCCTCGATCGATGGCTGCAGAAGCGCCCTGCGAGTCGTTCGCCAGAGCGTCCTCCAGCTCAGCGTCACCGTTCGAGATCTCCTGACCCTTCGTCTTCAATGGCGGCAGCTGATGAATCGGAAGCAGAAACGCTAGCCAACTCCCCGCCTCCAGCGCCATTGCCCGCAGGAGTGCGCGCCGTCGATCGGGATCCCGGGACGAGACCCGCCATTTTGACATACGATCCGAACAGTGTCAACGAGATCCGTCGTTCGTACCTGCTCCAACTCGCGCTGGTTGCTGCTTGCAAGGATGGCGTCCCCGACATCGGCCTGTTCTTCGCATTGGTCAATGACATCAATGTCGCGACGAGCTCCTGCAAGCGCAACGACGATCTCATCAACACGCAGAAGAAGATCGTGCTGGAGATGATCAACGAGCTGCTGGTCGAGACGGGCCGTCGTCTGAACCAGGAGACGGCGTTGGTGCGCCCAGGCGACACGCGCTGGTCGTCGTTCTGGCGCGCGCTGCGTCGCTTGATCGACGTGTTCGGCGCGACAATACAAGCCATCCAGCGTGTGGAGACGGACGGCAGCAAGTCGGAGCAGCGGGTGGAGGCGACGCCCCTGCTCGACGGCACGTGCACGTTCACGTTTGCGTTCCGTTTGCACCTAATGGAGAAGATGCTGCTTATCACGCACGACCTGTCGCAGGCGCTGAGAACGAAGGACCAGGACATCGTCAATGCGTTGCGGTTGGTCTATGGCGTCGTCGAAGCGCTGACAGAGATGCGCGTTACCGGGTACGACAACCTGCTCGTCGTAGCCGGTAACGCGCAGTGATCGACAAGATGCTGGCCGAGTTCGCCTACAGATTCAGCGCCGGGTCGATGGAGGTGCTCCGCCTAGCAGCATGTATCTCTCCACGCAAGCAGTTCGCCTCGTTCAATGTCGACAAGCTCGTGGAGCTGGCCCGCAAATTCCACATGATCGACTTTCCTGACGTCGACCTAATGCTTCTCGATCAGCAGATGGTCCACTTCGGAAGGGAGATAGAGAAGGACGAGCTATTGAAGAATGTGGGCACGCTCCTTGAACTATCGGTCATGCTGGTGCAGACCGGCCGGGCCACGGTCGGCTACCACCTTGTATACTGATTGCTGCGGCTGATGCTGACGTTGTTGGTGGCGACAGCCACGGCCGAGCGCGTGTTCAGCATCCTGAAAATCAGCAATGGGCTCCAACTACCTCAATGACGCCATGCTGCTGTATGTTGAGAAGGAGACTGCTGCTACGGTGATGAACGATCAAGTCATGTCATACTTCCAGGCCATGCGCCATCGCCGCACACTCGTCGGATGAAAAGCAAGGTCCTTACTAACAACTCCTATAATTTTTCATTGCTGGAGGGGTTGCCTCCCCTACCTCAAAATCCTGGCTCCGCCTCTGCTCTTATCACTTCTATTTCTTGCCTTCTTGGCGCCTGATCTGTGTCTGCATTTGCAGCCAGCCAATCACTGCCTCTTTCCCTAATTTCTGGCGTCTGTCTGCTGTCTTCCAGGCCTCGCGCTTGCACCTGCTCGTCCTGACCTCACTGTTTGCAACCCTGTACATGAATGCAACTGCTGCGCGCGTTACGCCACTACACATGTACACCACATTCACATGTCTGAATCGGTTTTGTTCATAGTTCAAATAAAATACTTGGTACGTATGTTGTTCGCGGTCATTCGTATAACGCCAGGCCGCCACGAATGCACTGTTACACTCATGGGTATAGTCTGCTAGTGGCAGATGTTGCGCTTTTCACCTAGTTAAGTCATTTTCCCTGTAATTTTTGTTCCAATTTGGACCGTGACCCCGGCACGCGCACACCCCGTTTTTAAATGTTTTATTTTATCAGGTAAGGCCCACTCAGCTATGCAGATATTTTTCAGAAGCCACCTAGCCACGAATGATCGCTCAACAAAGTGACGTGTCATGTGGAAATTTACAGCAGCCAAATACTCTTAAAACGCGCGTCAATACTAAATGTGGAAGAAAAAACCGGAGAACCCGGAGAAAAATCCACGCAACCACAGGGAAAACATGCAAACTCTACATATACAGGCGTCAGGGTCGGGATCAAACGCACAACCTCCTGCATACCAGGCGAGGTAGTTAACATCTTACGGGACCTCGAACGTCTGCTACGAGAGCACAATGGCGCGTTATCGTGGAAGGTATACGGACAGTGGTGGGAGTCTCTGGATGGGGTGGAAGGGGTGTTGCTCAGTGATTTATTACGCAATGATTAATCGCCGTCACTTGCGGAGAATGTGCGTAACAACGTTGGTCTCGTATAGTTTGCGAATGCAATTGTTACGGTTTTACACATGAAACCTCCAGTTGTCAAACATCCAATGTATGATACTGTTTATTGTTCAAGGTTGATGATAATTAACACTTGATTTGTTGTTTTGTTCACGTGTAATGTTATCTTTCAGAAATTGTGACGGGTATGAAATTTAGCCACGACTGCAAGCATCTCATTTCAGTTTCGGGGGACAGGTGAGTTTTAAAATATATGTTAAATAATGTTATAGTAAACTAAGGATATATTTATCGAATTCTAATTATGTATATTTATCGAATTGAAGGTGCCAAATGAACCGGACTCCGGCAGAGAGCGTCACAGTCTGGGTGTCACGTGAGTGAAGGCCCAGAGAGTTCCACAGTCAGGGTGTCATGGGAGTGAAGGCCCAGAGTGTTCCACAGTGCGGGTGTCACGTGAGTGAAGGCCGAGAGAGTCCCACAGTGCGGGTGGCACGTGAGTGAAGGCCGAGAGAGTCCCACAGTGCGGATGTCATGGGAGAGAAGGCCCAGAGAGTTCCATAGTGCGGGTGTCACGTGAGTGAAGGCCCAGAGAGTTCCACAGTGCGGGTGTCACGTGAGTGAAGGCCCAGAGAGTTCCACAGTCAGGGTGTCACGTGAGCGAAGGCCCAGAGAGTTCCACAGTGCGGGTGTCACGTGAGTGAAGGCCCAGAGAGTTCCACAGTGCGGGTGTCACGTGAGTGAAGGCCCAGAGAGTTCCACAGTGAGGGTGTCACGTGAGTGAAGGCCCAGAGAGTCCCACAGTGCGGGTGGCACGTGAGTGAAGGCCCAGAGAGTTCCACAGTGCGGGTGTCAGGTGAGTGAAGGCCCAGCGAGTTCCACAGTGCGGGTGTCACGTGAGTGAAGGCCCAGAGAGTTCCACAGTGAGGGTGTCACGGGAGTGAAGGCCCAGAGAGTTCCACAGTGAGGGTGTCACGTGAGTGAAGGCCCAGAGAGTTCCACAGTGCGGGTGCCACGTGAGTGAAGGCCCTTAGATCGCCCCCGTGGACTTCAGTTTCATTTTGGGGATGCAGAGGAGGCCTAAGTCCACCGTCCTCATAGTTCTTGTTTGGAACTTTATGGCGCAGCAGCTCCAGGGTATACGGGGTTGCGAGATCATTCAGGGTCTTGAATGTGAGGAGGAAGATGACCTTGGATTCAGTGCAGAATTTAGTTGGTAAACAGTGAAGTAATGCGGGAGCAGGGGTGATTTGTTTCCAAATGAGGCGTTTGTGTCACGAGCCTAGTTGCCCCGAATTCTTAATGGACTGGAGTCGACGTGTCAGATTAAAACGTGATTACCAATTTCTCCCGTATTGGCGGGCCGAGAGAATCGGACGTAACCGGGCAATGTTCTGTCGGTGAATAAAGCGACCTCGACGATTTTATTCATTTTTGTATCTTGAAAGCTTAATGATGGATCGAGGATCGCACCGAGGATTTCTTCCCCACATACGGTACATTGTGACCACCGATCGTCAGATTGATTGAACCAGCCACCACCCGGGCCGGCCGGCGGTGAGATTCAGATGAGAATAGGCCTCCCGAGTCTCATGGCGAGCGTGCCTCTGTTTGCAGCTGCATGTTCCTGTGGCGGTTGCCGTCGGACCTGACGAGTGTCATGCAGCGGCGGCTGGGAGAGATGACCCAGAGCCGGAAACCAGCACTGCCCAAGCAGCCCCCGGCTCTCCGGTGAGGCCTGCGGCTCCCCCTGGTGCGGTGGATGGAGATGGCCGTGCGGTGGAAATTCCACATTCCTATGGCAGGCGCGAGTTTCTCCACGAGACAACCACTGTTGACTTCTCCAACTGTTATTGACCCCGGAGAGACGATGTGCAGAGTTAACCCACAGCACAGACAAGACCTAAAACACAAAAACGCATGCGGTGTCAAGCGCAGTGCGCCATCAATCCTACCACCTGAGTTAAATTCTCAACCACGGCTCACATAAGTCATGAGTGTGGTCTAAAACCGGGTCACCAAACATCTCACGTGACGATTGCACAGCCCAGCCCTCAAGTTCCCAGGCCCCCATCCGCCCTCCATCACCTCCTTCACAAAGAGATCAAAGTCAAAATGTGTATTATTCCACCGGAATATTTTTGTCTGGATCTGAGTGATAAAAAAAAACCCCAGCTGGATATCAGCCAGATTCAGATTCTCAGCAGATATTGTGTGGCCATTCCCCTCCTGGTTCGGGATGATGTCTGGTTTATTAAAGGACACTGCCAGCGCAGTTTTTGATGTCTTGCAAGCGAACAAACCAAAAGGTACAGGTGCAGCCCTGCAATTGCCTGCTCACAGCCGCTGCTGGAAGAAGTGCCTCCTGCCAGTGGGAGCTCCAGAGATCCCCTAATACCAGGGTATTTTGACCTCTTTCACGCTGGTCAGTGTGTATTGGAAGGAGAGGTGGGAGTACTCACCCTTGACCCCCCACCACACATGACTGACCAATCACAGATTTAACTGCCATCCACCCATGAAATTTAGTAATGCGTGGGGTTCCGGTATCCCCCCACGTGTATAATAAACACAACTCATCATTAATTGGCCGAAAACTCCTTACAAATAAACACCCAACGTAGCAGCGGCAGCAGGATCCTCCTTACAAAGAGCCTTCCAACTCTCCTGGCTAAATAAGTAAATAATAATGATTCAAGCATGATTATTATTGTAAACCCCCTTTGGCACGGTGGTGCATGGCCGAGCCCGAAGTGCTGGAGGTGCGAGCGCGCCGGACGTGCGTTCTTCAGCAGGGAGACGTACGTGATGCAGCCGCGTGCGCCCGTGCTCGGACACATCACGGAGGAGTGCGAGGGCAATGAGGGGGAGCGTGAGGGCGACGAGGGGGAGCGTGAGGGCGACGAGGGGGAGTGCGAGGGCGACGAGGGGGAGTGCGAGGGCGACGAGGGGGAGTGCGAGGGCGACGAGGGGGAGCGCGAGGGCGACGAGGAGGAGCGCGAGGATGATGTGGAGGAGGAATCGGACGGACTCCACGCTGTCAGTGAGTGTCGCCAACTGTGCCGCAGCGTCGCACATCCGACCGTCACGTTCCCCGCCCCGACCACTTAACCACCCCGCACCCAGCGCGGTATTTGCGCGCGATGTAACCATCAGGCTCCACAGACATCCGCATTTTCCGGGTTGCGCGCAGACGTGTCGCCGTAGACAGGACACTACAGCGGTTGGCGCTTTGCCGCACTGTCCGCTGCTGCCCTTCGCGTAGTCTGATAGAGATACATTAAAGACAACCCACAGTGGAGCGACTGTGGCAATGCAACCCATATAGTGAACCCATAGAGACTCATAGAGACCCATAGAGATACATTAAAGACAACCCACAGTGGAGCGACTGTGGCCATGCAACCCACACTATGGGACCCTATAGTGAACCACTGTAGTCTGCACTCCTTCAACGGATGAGGGATAGCAAAACTACACAAACTCTCTCTGCTTAAGCCCTCTTGACATTGGAATTTAGCTCCCGAACGTATTGCCATTCGCACGAGCAGAATAGAATGGCTTGAAATCCCGGCCGCCTGTTGTTGATGTGTTCACATTCTCATACTGACTTAAAAAAAAAACGTGTATATGACTGCATTGTTTGTCCTCTCCATCTCCAGTCTCACTGGATGATCGCATGAAGAGAACGGCAAAGACCCCAGCCTGGGCTAGGCTCCAGGTGAGAGGGAAAGAGCATGGCGTGCGGTGCATCGCCTTCCAAATTCTGTCATTCTAACAATTACCTGCAGATTACTCAAATCGGATTGCACACAGCAGCAACCATCACCCCCCTCGTGCTGCACAGGGACAGCTGCCATTGGGGGTGCCCCTCGAATGTTTGAGATGAGAAGTGATGTCTGGCGCTCTGAATTGCCGAGGCGTGTAAGCGAGTGCCATTTAAATGGGAGATTATAAATTCATTTATATTGTTATGATCCTGCTGTGTGTGTGTTACGGGTCGTAATCCTGGAGACGTAAGTTAGTGTGGGTGAATTTTGATTTAAAGCTTTCTTGACTGCAGTAATTCATATTCTTAGCTCTTTCGGTAAAGTCACGTTGAAGGGAAACAATAAAATAATAAAATATATATAAAACAATAAAAATTCTCACGACGTTTCGACCATAACACAAACGGTCATCATCAGATGTTTGTGTTATGGTCGAAACGTCGTGAGAATTTTTATTGTTTTATATATATTATTGTTTCCCTTCAACGTGACTTTACCGAAAGAGCTAAGAATATGTTGTAAAGGTTGTCAACCAGTTTAAGTCATAACTAGCTGTGATGTTCCCATCCTACCACCTTCCTAGTCGTTATTTTCGGCTCTCTGATTATACGTTACCAGGTTACATTTCCCACACTGACACAGCCACTGAGCTCGCCGAGCTCGACGTTGCTGCTCTGCGATCTGCCATTAACACCAGGGGCGGAGCCAGGGGGGGTGACAGGGGTGACATTCTGCGTGTAAGTGTACGACACTCGGTCTGGCGGACTCCCTGCAACCGCATTGTCAGAGTGTGTCGCCAACCGGTGGCGTCCAGTTCAACAGCCTGACTCTCTAATCATTCTTGAAATTAAAATTTGTTGAATGTCACCCCGGCCTGAAATCCTGGCTTCGCCCCTGATTAACACGCTAATCTCTCACATTAACATAGCCACCTCTACGCACACGTGGAGGCCGCTCTCCGATCTCACATTAACATGCTCATCTCTCACATTAACATGCTAATCTCTCACATTTTCATGCTCATCTCTCACATTAACAAGAGCTAAGAATATTAGTGTGGATGTTCATAGTCTGGATTGCTACCACAGCGGTGTAACGGTTATCGCTCCGCACTCGCAATCCAGAGGTTGCCAATTCAATTTCCGACGGAGCAAGTTTATTAAAATTCCCCGCCCACCTCTTGTCCACCCCGCAGTCTAACTGTGTAAACCAAAGTTGACTCCATCGGTAGATCGCAGCACGTGGTGAGGTTAATTGTGGGTGCTCCCAACTCCCTCGAAACAGCGAGTACGAGTGGTGCGGATGGCGTGGTGCGCGGGCCTCTCGCGTGACGTGCTCGCCGTTTGCAGCGATTGCCGAACGGCACAGAGGCGGGCCAGGAGGCGGCCGGCGTAGCCTGGCAACCGCGCAGGCGCTGGGGCCAAGGCTTTGACAAGGAGCAGACAGAGAAGTCGCTGCAGGACCTGTGCAGGCTCAGCGTGGAGACGCCGACGCCCTCACCGCTGACGGAGCGCGACTCGTGCTGCTCACTCGACAGCGTGGACGGTGTGTGCATCGAGGAGGCCACCAAGCTGGCACCCACCGACCTCAATGATCTGTTCAAAGAGGTGAGCTGTGCATGTGTGTGTGGTTTTTGGACTATGTAGTATGGGAGGGAGGATTCGGAGCTGAGTGGACTTGCCGATGACTTGGTACCAGCGTTATCAGGAATGGCCTCGGTGAAAGAGGCTCTTGAAGGACGCTACTGGGCAGTGCCAGGCAAAGTGTACTTTGAGGCTACTGGGCGTTTGGAGGTAGTCGCCCTCGGCAACAACGGATGGTGGAGGAGCAACACTTAACGAGCGGAGCGCTGGGCAGCTAAAACACAGCGAGTTGCCACAGTGGGCCGTACAGGTGGTACCATTGTCGGTCATCTCAGTCAGCCCATGGCACCAGGGACTGTCCCGTGACCTGCCAGCAGTGAGCCTTTCAGATTTGACATTGCTTAAAGTGGGAGCTCGCCAACAGCGCTTGCTCCAACGGCCTGCTAAAGGCTACACGGGGGATCTTTTTGTCTTTGCAGCTGGAGAGCGGCAAGCGTACGAGCGAACCGTTCTCCAAGCCCGGCGCGGGCCGCTTGGAGACGCCGCCGCCGCGGCACGAGGCCACCCCGTCCCCCGAGCTGGACACGCCGAGCGACGGCGCCGGCGAGGCCATCATCTACACGCAGCCCGGCGATGCCGACGCTGCTCCTGACAGGTGATCCGCACAGCATGGTACGGCCGCCATGGCCGTCCCAGGTTGATCACCGGGAGAGATTCGGTGAAAAATTATTTGACGGGAAATGAAGCCCCCTGCATACGGAGTCTAACCGGCATTCATCCCCAAGGTCTAGTTGTTTCGTGCACAGCAGTGCTGAGACGAGCAATCCATATTTGGGATGGCAACATATTTTATAAACTGGTCCCAGGATTAAAATTAAAACAAATGTTTTTATTTTACAGCTACGTGGCTTTTCTTCAGAAGCAACCTGGCTATCACAAATTATAGCTCAACGAAGCGGCTTATCATCATGTGTAAATTTATAGCAGCCAAATAGTCTAAACTATTTTTCCCTCCACATTGATTTTAAATGTGGAGAGAAAAACCGGCCGTGGTGTAGTGGGCTCGCTCACTGGACTCACAATCCAGCAGTCGCCGGCTCCATTCCATCTCAAGTTTCTTAAATCCCCCACCCCTTCACCTCCTTCCGCCCAGCGCTACAAGCGGGTTCACCGCAGTCTCGCCGATCGGCAGGTCGCGTGTGTGGCGAGGTAAAGTGTGGGTACGCCCCCACCCAGGTCACTCTTGCAAGTGAGACTATCCTTGTCTCTTGAGTTTTCACCTGGTTCGGATGTCTGTCCAGTTTTGGAAGAGTAGGCCAAAAATACTACTGGACTGGAGACCGAGAGGACCTTCTGCTAGCAGTGACATGAGCAAGTGATTGCAGCCCTGCACCTTTACCTTGTTTACAGATTAATTAGTGGATCATTTTGTAGATGACAGTACTGTGGTGGTGGTGGTTTTTGTTGTCAGTGACTACCATGTGACGGAAATCCCCAAAAGCGTGCGAGGCAAGAGGAGCCCACGAGCCCACGCGAGGGCCAGCCCCAACCATGTGTCCAGCCACAGCCCGGCCCACGACGTCACAGCCAGCCTGCCCCCGCCGCTTGCTGGTCAGTCTGTTAGACGTCACAGCCGGCCTGCCCCCTGCCTGCTGGTCAGTCTGTTAGACGTCACAGCTGGCCTGCCCTCGCCTGCTGGTCACTTTGTTAGACGTCACAGCTGGCCTGCCCCTCGCCTGCTGGTCAGTCTGTTAAACGTCACAGCTGGCCTGCCCCCTGCCTGCTGGTCACTTTGTTAGACATCACAGCCGGCCTGCCCCCTGCCTGCTGGTTAGTCTGTTAGACCTTTCATTGTAAAATGGAGAGAAATGCCGATAGAATACCGCGGTGTCGCACGTACGCGGATACCAACTGGCTTTGCCATCCATGCTGGGGCCGTGGATGGCAAAGCCAGTTTGTTGTATGACCGTGCGGGTTTTCGCTGCTGTGCTGCTGCTGCGCTGCTCCCCGTCGCGTTTTTGAGTTGTGCCTCCTGCGTGTTGCTGGGCACAATGTCTCACTTTTTGTTTTCTCCTCCGTGCGTTGGCAGCTTCTTCAGGAACTGATTTCGATCACGGTCAAGTTAACGTGTACTAGAAGACTTGACGTAACGATGGCAATGGCGCGTATCCGCCATCACTCGTGACGTTTCACATTACCCCCCCTCCCCCCCCCAGAAACCATTTGACTTCGCACGGTGTGTCACGTGACGGAATCCGTGTCCTCGCCTGCGTCTCGCGGGAACTCGGGTGCAGCAGGGACTCGGGTGCCACTGCTCAGAGGCTGATTTGAATGTTTGTGGTGTGACAGATTTGGAGCGGCCAGACCTCGTTGTGGAGATGAGTTCCGAACTGTCCAAGATTGAGGAGGGTATTGAGGACGAAGATAAGGACGAGGACGTTGAGGAGGTTCATGATGATAACGAGAAGGAGGAGGAAGAGGAGGAGGAAGAGGAGGAGGAAGAATGTACCGCTCTAGAGGAGGAAGAGGAGCCATCTGAAATTCCCAAACAAGAGACCTTCTTGAAACAGAACTTTGAAACACTGGCAGACTTCGTCCGCAATGGTGCGCGCACTCTCGCTCACACACTGATACCTACGGGGAATTGCTGGGCGGATTTACATGGCTGTGTCAGTGTGCCACCGCATCTCATGGCACTGCACAGATAACTGGGCATGTTGCTTGCTTATCGGGGTATATGGGTATTTGTGCGAGTCAAGGTTTCTTGCTGAGGTCCATAGGTAGCTGCACTAGCGTATGGGCCCTATGTTGTGATTATATGGGTATCTGTGTGAGTCTGGGTTTGTATGCGAGTATGTAGGTCTGTTTACAGATAACTTGTCGGCATATAGATGTTTGGCCAATGCCAGTTACATTGTGGTTTTTGTAGCTACTTACTCACATGCTAAACAACCCACTCACATACAGTCACACTCACCCTCTACAGAAGAGGGGGAGAACATACAAACTGCACTCTCACATACTCACACTGCAGAATAGGGAGATGACATGCAAACTGCACTCTCACACACTCACTCTGCAGAACAGAGCGAGTGAATGAGAGCGACCGCAGAACAGGGGGATAACATACAAATTGTGTCGGGAATCGAAACCAGGCCCTTCTCGCTGCGAGGCGCGCCAGTGTCACCACTGCGCCGCCACCAGCTTTGCCGGCCGTGTCGATCGCGAATGGGAAAACGGCGACCGCTTCCCACAGCGCTGAGGCTCCTGGAAGGAAGGGGGTGGGGGAAGCTGGCTTGCCCCGTTGTTGCGTCACCGTTTTTTTCCATTTTTAATTTCCCTTCCAGAGACGTTCGACCGGAGCCTGGAGGGTCTCTGTCCCAACCCGCAGCCGAGGAAGGAGATCGCGCTGAACCCCCGCCTCAGCATCTCCTCGCGCTTCCTCTTCAAGGCCTTCCGCACGCAGCCCAGGTTTGACTGCGGCGAGACTGCGCATCCACCTCCACCCGCCTTCATCCATCTACATTAATCTCCATCCACCACCATCCGTCTTCATCAATCTACATCAATCTACATCTATCTCCATCGACCTCCATCTCCATGTATCTCTATCCATCTCCAACCATGTTTAATGACGCGGCCGAGCGGTGGTGCAATCACCGCTCATTGCAGAGGTTTGCGGTTTGAGCCCAGGGTCCAACCTGGTTAATGCTGTGAACCGTAGACTCTACGCGCCGTCTCCTTCACGGTGGACGTCTAACAGTCACGTGAGCGGCCGATGTCTTGGTCCAAAAATTAACGAATGTGCCGCGCTTTTTCTTTTTTGGGTTACGTACGCCGGCTGGTTTTGTTTGACTGCGTAGGGAAGGGCGCCAGCTGCCCATGAGACCGAGACTGTTGCCGGCGAACCCACCGACGCTGTTGGACAGGGCTGCGACGCAGGAGCTGCCACCGGGCCGGCGCGAGTGCCAATCCCACACGTCCGAGACCCTCGGCACGACCCGGCTCTTGCCTCCTCCCGTGAGTCGCTCTCAGGGCCGTCCCGAGTCTTGACGCCGAGCACCCGGGTCCCTACCGTCGTGTTCGTGATTCTCCCCGTGCGATGCCGATCGCGCCATTGGCGTCACGTGCTCACGAGAGGGAAGGATCCATTCGGAACTGCCAACAGAGCACTGCAACCCCCCACCACCTTGTTGGAGAATGGCCCACAGAAGTGGACATTGCAGAGCTATCATGACAAACCTTACTAATTGGCTGTCGGGTGGTGGCGGGTTTAACAACGCATTAATATTTGACGCCATCTAACCCCAAAAAAAAGCTTGTATAATGGATGATATTGGTCGCGAAAGCCTACGTCTTAAATTGCAGAGCTGCTTCTGAGATCCCTTCAAGTGGCCTCTGGTCCACAAAGTAGGGTTGGAGCACTCTCTCAAGTGCACCTGCTACAAAGAGTGATGCTGGTCATATGTCAGGCAAAATTCTTAAAACCTGAATTTATCCAAATTAAATGCAGGACCAACTCTAATGGCATGCTTTTTGTGTGCGGTCATTGGTGACCGGAGCCTGAGACGATCAACTCACTGCACTTAAGATGCCGGTTTATTCACAGGCAAAACCTAAAACCTGGATTGGATCCCAAGATCTCGGCGTGATTTCTTGTTGTCTCGTTGGGTGGCAGAAGGACCCGGGCAGCGAGGAGCCGAGCCTGGCACTCGCGAGAAGTCACGATTGCGACAAAATCGCCAAGGCCCAGTCCGACCACATCGGCAACACCGAGGCAGCGGGAGAAGGAAGCACGGGGCCCATTGTTCCCGGCCTGCAGCCCCCTGCGGTGAAATCATCATCAGCTCCTGACCTCGGTGATGATGATGACTTGTTTTTGATTGCGCACCCTTGATACATTTGAAGGGTGCCTCCAGTGGCAGCTGCTGTCCCTGTGTGGCACGAGATGAGTTAGCGCCTGGTCTACAACCGGGCGTTTCAATGTATTGGCAGTACACCGGTGGTGCATGGTGGTTAGTAAGTAAAGTAAAGAAAACACAATTTTTATTTGTTTTCCCACGATTCGCAACTCCGGTCAGAAAATCTTGCGGGGGTGGTGGTGCGTCAAAATCAGTTATTGTGATGTCGAAACAGTCGTATAGACGGGATATTTATACGAGCGGCTGAACACGAAGCTTCACAGTCTGTTGCCGTATAGCAGCAACCCAGCCCTGATAACGATTGGCTGGCTCAGTGTTCCAAAGGCAGATTTTGACTCGTGCCCGAGATTTGGGTCGGACGGTTCCTCAATTTAACGGAACCAAATCAATGGTCAATATTGAGTGGACCCTGGCGGTGGCCGCTGGTGAAAACCAGGCTTCGACATGAGTGATAAATCCAAGTATTTATATAGTTGACTCACCCGCAGGGTGACCCGTCGAATTCGAACTAAGAACGTCTGAGACGAGCAACGAACGCGCGTCCGCTAGCTTGCGCGCCACTGCGGCTTGTAAGCGCCACAATGCCCGTGAACAAAGTGACCTGCGGCCTCCACTATTCCCTGGCATCTCCGGACGTAACGTGTTTGGCGACAGCAGTTCAGGCTGTTTGTTTTCTCTTTTTCAGCCACGCAGCTTCACGGTCGCCTGCTGTGGAGCGAGACAGAACGGAGGGCGCCGCAGCGCAGGCTGCTGCCTCCGTCTCCTGGCTGCGGCAGCAGCGACGCCGTGCCGACGGCTTCCGAGGAGGGCGCGTCGCCGTGCGCGTCGGGCACGGAGGGGCAGAGCGCGGACACAACGGAGAGCCTCGCCGCGAGATGCGCAATGAGCGGCGACGACGACGCCACCTCCGTCGCGAAGACCGCCTTGACGGATACGCTCGACGATGGTTCTCGTGCCGCCATGGAAGGCGCCGCCAAGCGGAAAAAGGAAACGGCTCCGGCCAGCGACGTCGCTGCGCGCGAGAGAGGATTCGCCAGGTCACCCCAAGGTCAAGAGTGGGCATCGTTCGGCAGCGTACCCGCCAGCTGTTCCACTCCATCAAGGCCGTCGAAGAGTGACGGAGCGGAGGAGGACGCTCCAAGCAAGCTCCTAGACAGGACGATGATGCCACCCCAGGACACGAGCACGCTTGGAGCAAACCCAACAAAGCAGAGACCGAGTTCCGTGCGGCGCAGCGTGAAGCCGGGGGGTCCCTCCGTGCCGTCCACAGAGTCCAGAGTCAAACCGGCGTTGAGCTCCGGCAAGCGGGCGTGCGCTGAAGATGCCGGCGGATCGGTGGGGAGAGCACAACGCGACGTCGATTGTGAATCGGAGAAGGGAATCTCAAGTCCTACCGATGGAAGTTCCTCGCAGGTAGTCGGCGCAAGAGAATCGGAGTCACAGCTCTGCTGCGATGTAACGCAGGGTAACGTTGCAACGCACCGAAGCGATGCCACCCAGCGCGGCGATGCCAGCGAGAGAGGCCATCCCGAGAACGCCAAGCCACAGCCAAACCAGAGCTCCTCTCGGGCTCAAGACAAACCATTGGCTGCAGAGCAGGACTCCAATCATTCCGATGCCTTTGCTACAAAGGTAAATCCCACAGGTGATTCTGTAATTGCGGACGAAGCCCACGGCAAAGGGCTTTCTGCGAAACGTCGGGTTGCGATCCACAAAGAGCAAGCGGCCAGCGCTGCTGCGGACAACGCAGACTACAGCGATGACGCGAGGCTTCTGGGAGCGCAGCGTCGAGGCGTCGGAGCAGCGCCGTGCAGCGGCAGTGTCGTCGCGACATCCTACGGAGCGGCTGCCCGGTCGGGCAATGGCCAAGCGTCTGCAGAAGGCGGAACATTCGTTGTGAATACTTCGGACAATTTGAAAAGCACCCGGGGGTCGGGTGTGCGCGACGACGCTCCGGAAAATCTGCGGAACGGAAACGCGGCGCCCGACTCGATCGTACGCGCAAGCGGGGGTGTTGAGAGGGGCAGCTCTGGCCAAGCGAGTTGCGCCGGGGCGCCGCCACCTCGTATGGAAATGCTTGTCAAGAGGGGCTCTGATAAGCCCAGAGTCGAGTCGGACCGCAGGCCATCAGGGCGGACGGCGGGAGTGGGGAGAACGTCTGGACTTGACGTGTGTCACTCCTCTTGCCCGGTGCCCGGCGACGCGGCGTCTGCCACGGGAGAGACGAGGGAACTGGTGGACGGCCGTACGGGCAGGGGTGGCAACCCTCCTGCTGTGGAGGCCTCCGCGGACGGAAAGGGGGGCGGCCCGGCCTCGGGGCTCTCTGCGACAAAGGAGGCGTTTGCGGTCAACTTGAAGAACAATGTCCGGCTGATCTCTGACGAAAGCAATGGAGCACCAGGACAGCTTACTGGAGCTGCTGAGGACGCTGCTGCTGCTGCTGAGCATACACAGTTGAACAGGAAGAACCTCTTACCCAGCGACCAAGAGCTCGATGGTGACACAGGTGCGTGCATCCTCGCTCGTTAACCGTAGCAGCCCGGCGCGTGCAACGCAACCGCTGAGCGACTGTCCGCGCGTGCTCGCTAATTCGCTCGCTCCACGTAAACATCACAGAAATTCACCTTCCGAAGCACTTGTGGCTCGATGTCAAAACTTGACGTTGGGGCCATAGCAATGTGAGATGTTGCAATGCCTCGCGTGACAACGTCACGTCGAGTGTCTTGCCGAAATTAAACTGGTCGTGGGCTGAATATACTCGCATCACCATCATCATTAACGCCGCATTATGACAAAAATTACTCACATTAAGAGGTTGTAAAGTATCGCGCGTGAATGATTTCGCATCTGCGGGGTGATGATTCTAATTTCAGTGCCATTTATATCTATTTAAATGGCTCCCCAATTACAGGATCTATCAGTGGAAGTCGTAGGATGGTGATTGTGGTGATAAGTCGTGGAGCGTGTATTAATGCGCTTGCATGTGTGCCCGCGCACCTGCCCACTTGGCTCTACAATCATTTATGGAATCGATTATCGGTCGTGAAAGCCATTAAACAATATGTAAATAAAATTCGGTTCGACTTGGATCACGATTTAGCCGATCGAAGCGAACATTGGAGCCACGCGGCGCACGTGCTCCCACGTGATTGGTCACATGACCACTCGTTACACACGGTATATAACATGTGTACATTTTTAAATAACGTTCAGCCCTTTTGTCAGTCCACTGCTAGATAAAGGCCTCTACTCACTGCGTCATCTCGCCAACACGAATTGCTTGACCGTACTGCACGTTGGTCAGCGCGGGTTGACTTTTGTACGTTTGCCCACTGACAAAGAAATGATCAGTCTATGATTTTAATGGTAGGTTTATTTGAACAGTGAGAGATAGAATAACAACAAATAAATCCAGAAAAACGCATGTCAAAAATGTTATAAATTGATTTGCATTTTAATGAGGGAAATAAGTATTTGACCCCCCCTCTCAAACAACATTTCTGGCTCCCAGGTGTCTTTTATACAGGTAACGAGCTGAGATGAGGAGCATACTCTTAAAGGGAGTGCTCCTAATCTCAGCTTGTTACCTGTATAAAAGGCACCTGTCCACAGAAGCAATCATTCAATCAGATTCCAAACTCTCCACCATGGCCAAGATCAAAGAGCTTTCAAAGGATGTCAGGGACAAGATTGTAGACCTACCCAAGGCTGGAATGGGCTACAAGACCATTGCCAAGCAGCTTGGTGAGAAGGTGACAACAGTTGGTGCGAATATTCGCAAATGGAAGAAACACAAAAGAACTGTCAATCTCCCTCGGCCTGGGGCTCCATGCAAGATCTCACCTCGTCGAGTTGCAATGATCATGAGAACGGTGAGGAATCAGCCCAGAACTACACGGGAGGATCTTGTCAATGATCTCAAGGCAGCTGGGACCATAGTCACCAAGAAAACAATTGGTAACACACTATGCCGTGAAGGATTGAAATTCTGCAGCGCCCGCAAGGTCCCCCTGCTCAAGAAAGCACATATACATGCCCGTCTGAAGTTTGCCAATGAACATTTGAATGATTCAGAGGATAACTGGGTGAAAGTGTTGTGGTCAGATGAGACCAAAATGGAGCTCTTTGGCATCAACTCAACTTGCCGTGTTTGGAGGAAGAGGAATGCCTATGACCCCAAGAACACCATCCCCACCGTCAAACATGGAGGTGGAAACATTATGCTTTGGGGGTCTTTTTCTGCTAAGGGGACAGGACAACTTCACCACATCAAAGGGACGATGGACGGGGCCATGTACCGTCAAATCTTGGGTGAGAACCTCCTTCCCTCAGCCAGGGCATTGAAAATGGGTCGTGGATGGGTATTCCAGCATGACAATGACCCAAAACACACGGCCAAGGCAACAAAGGAGTGGCTCAAGAAGAAGCACATTAAGGTCCTGGAGTGGCCTAGCCAGTCTCCAGACCTTAATCCCATAGATCATCTGTGGAGGGAGCTGAAGGTTCGAGTTGCCAAACGTCAGCCTCGAAACCTTAATGACTTGGAGTAGATCTGCAAAGAGGAGTGGGACACAATCCCTCCTGAGATGTGTGCAAACCTGGTGGCCAACTACAAGAAACGTCTGACCTCTGTGATTGCCAACAAAGGTTTTGCCACCAAGTACTCAGTCATGTTTTGCAGAGGGGTCAAATACTTATTTCCCTCATTAAAATGCAAATTAATTTATAACATTTTTGACATGCGTTTTTCTGGATTTTGTTGTTATTCTGTCTCTCACTGTCCAAATAAACCTACCATTAAAATTATAGACTGATCATTTCTTTGTCAGTGGGCAAACGTACAAAATCAGCAGGGGATCAAATACTTTTTTCCCTCACTGTAAATGTGGCACGTTGGAATCATGTGACACATTTATTAAATCTTTTAAATCTATATAAAAAAAATAACTTCTTTACAACTGCCTTTTGTGTTTAGTTTGTTGTCCTTCCCCCGCACTTCCGATTAGCACAGTTGGCTACGTACGGTGCGAAAGAAGTTCTACATACATACATAGACTCGCACAGAGACCCATAGAGTCACATAGAGACCCAGAGTTTGTTGTCCTTCCCCCGCACCTCTGATTAGCACGGTTGGCTATGTACTGTGCGAAAGAAGTTCAACATACATACGTTTATTGGCTGTCGGGTTGAGGAGGATTTTAAGACATTTTTACCGTGACGATAACATTGGTCGTGAAAGCCGAACAAGAACATTCATATGTCATCGGGTTTTTCTTTTTGCGCGGGCGATTATCGACGATGCCAGAATCCAAAATTAACGACCCTACTCCCAGGGTGTGACCTCACGATGCCAATTGGACAGAAGGGGGGGGGCGAGCAGGAGGGAGTTTGACAGACGGGGATGGGGGAGTAGGAATGTTAATCCTCGACAGCGAAGGAGAAGCGGGGATTACCGCCGCCGGGAATGAGCAGCAATGGAGTTGTCGCTCGCAGTCGTACTGTGCCGCCATGTCGCGCGAGCCCCGGCATTTGTGTTTTGCGTCCGCAGACGATGGCGGACGCCGCTCGCATATTTGTGTGTCTCTATGAACGGCGGGAAGAGTTGGCGAAGGCGAAGTGAGAATATAGGTGCGGTCGCCCCGCAGTTATCGCCAGGCCAAGAACTGTGTTTGCCAGTGAAATCCCCGTATTCACTTGAGCAAAATTAAAAATGCACGCGCAAGTGATTATCTGGTGATGCTGCTGCGTTGGCAGTGGGTGCACAAGCGCAGTGCTCAACACGCTCGTTAGCAACACTGTATGGCCTTAAAATAAAATTAACTCAGCAATCGTAACGTGCCATCAATAAGGGCCATCGCTTGAAACGTCGCTTGAAATGTCGCCTGTTATATACGTATATATTTTTTTTCTTTTAAGGTTCTGCACAGTGCTATTGACAGACACGTTGAGTTGAAGAGATTCCCTGCTGCTCAAACGAGCCACATTGAGGCACCGCCGCTGCTGTTTACTGCCCCTGCAGATAGCCGGTGCTCGTGAATTCACATTCGTATGGAGGGGGGGGGCGGCGACCCTCCATAAGGCAACTACCATTGTTGACCTCCCCACAAAGGCGGTGAAAATTTTATCGACCCTGGAGGTGACGATGTTGCCGAGTCCGCAACCCCCTGGCCGGGATGTGAACTCGGGACCTTTCCGATTTCTAGCTGCCCGCTCCACCACCGCCGCCACCACGCCGGCCGTGTGACTGAATGTTGAGCGTCGTCGCGTTGCGCTGTGCGTTGTTTCAGGGCTGCCCGTGACGGAGGAGGATTGTCAGCTGGTCCTGAGCGAGCTGCGTTCCGCGGTGCGCAAAGCTCTACGCCTCTACAACCGGGTAAGACGAAGGCGGGTTACGTGAGATGTACGCACGTGAGATGTACGCACGTGCAGTGTACGCAACATGAGGTGTATACCAAGTGAGGTGTACGCACGTGAAGTGTACGCAACATGAGGTGTATACCAAGTGAGGTGTACGCACGTGCAGTGTACGCAACATGAGGTGTATACCAAGTGAGGTGATCGCACGTGCAGTGTACGCAACATGAGGTGTATACCAAGTGAGGTGATCGCACGTGCAGTGTACGCAACATGAGGTGTATACCAAGTGAGGTGATCGCACGTGCAGTGTACGCAACATGAGGTGTATACCAAGTGAGGTGATCGCACGTGCAGTGTACGCAACATGAGGTGTATACCAAGTGAGGTGTACGCACGTGAGGTGTACGCAACATGAGGTGTATACCAAGTGAGGTGTACGCACGTGCAGTGTACGCAACATGAGGTGTATACCAAGTGAGGTGTACGCACGTGAAGTGTACGCACGTGAAGTGTACGCACGCAAGGGTTACGCACGCGAGGGGTTCGCAACAAGAGCGGTACGCAACGCGAGGCGTACGCACCACACCATGTACTCATTTGGGCTTATTCGACCTTGGAAGGTCCAGGACCGGATGTGGCGGCACAGCGGCCTTGGCCATGCAGACTTGTCCATCTTGAAGGAGTCTGTCCGGGCGTTGTGTGTGCAATGTTCGTGGTCGTGTCCGCGTGGTTCTTTCCCGGCTCCCCGGGTTGCTCGCTGGCTCGCCGAGCTGCTCGCTGGCTCACAGGGGCGGGCGGGAGCTACCGGTCGCTATGTAAGCGGCGCGCGGTTGTCCTCGTGCTGCAGGTTTTCCGCCGGAGCCACTTGAGGGGGCCGGAGGCTCTGCGGCGGAGAGAGAGGCGGCTCGCAATTCGAGGGTTGCGAGTTCAAATCCTGGTTGGGGGGGGTTTGATTCACCGGGGTTGTTAAACATGTGCCGCTCTGTGGTGGAAATCATAAGTGGGTTGCCCTACGGATAAACTCGCCCCTCTCATAGGAATGTATCCACCGCTGGCCTCAGGGCTGTAAACGGGAAATGAGCACCGTCGCAGCAATGCTCGCCGACTTTTTTTTTTCAACTCTGTGACCTCGCCAGGTTTCCACGGCGGACTCCGAGCAGCACGCACAGACGGCCGCTGTGCTGCTCCACAGCTTCTCCTCCCTGGGGGCGGAACTGGAATCTGTCGCTCGTCTGTCAAGTCCTGAGCGGGAGGGCGAGCCCAGCGACGCCGCTGGCGCCGCACGCCCTGCCGTGCAGAGAGGCTGCCAACAGCAGCAGCAGCAGCAACAGAACTCTGGTTTCCGTAACTCACATGTCTCCATCGCGCAGGGCGCAGGCTCGCAGAGCCAGCAGCAGCAGCAGCAGCCGTGTGCGGAGCTGCGCGGCTGGGCGGACGGTAAGGCTGTTCACCTGCTGGAGCATTACTCCGACCTCATGGTGCAGCTGGTGGAGCGTAAGATGGCGTGCACCGCGTGCAAAACCACGCGAACCTAAGCCACCGCCCGCCAGGGCCTCGTGTGCATCACCGGTGCGTGCTCGCAATGCAGTAGGATGATAAGAACCCTTTTCCACCGCACACCCGAGCCGTACCACAGCACAGCACGGCAACGGGTGTTTTTTCTCACCGGCATATTTGCCGAGCCGGAACCGAGAGTCGAGTTCTACGGCGGCCTCGTCATCTGAATTGGGCTCGGAGCCAAGCGGGTGGGGGGGGGGGGGGCTAGTCGACGCGAGATGCCGATCGGCGCAACTCGACCACGCCGTCACCGCGCGCCATCCACGCGCACCTCAGCGTCCCAGTCGCGCGCGCCCTGCGCCTCGCGTTGGCTCGAAACGGTGCCAGCACGGCTCGGTTTCTGCGAGTGGAAAAGAGGTGTGGAGGGATGAGGGACGATCTTGCGTTGTTTGTATGTTTGAAATGAACACGTGTGAGGGCATATCACTCAAAAATACATCCGGGGTATGTCTTGTGATCTGATAGCTGCGCGTGCCAGAGACCAGATTTTTGTGTAACTTTATCGACACCGGGGCAGTGCATCTTCTCGTCCGGAGACTTACGGGAACTGCGCTGCCGTACGCCGGTCACCTGGTAGCCCGGCAGGTTTAGGGTCTGCGTCTCATTCACAAAACGTAATCTCCAGCGATCCCCCGGCCCTTCAGGCCCCCCCCATGGGCACCACACTGTGTGCACCGCCCGGCAGGGTGGTCCTGCCAGGACGTAACGGGCAACAGGCGCAGCCCTGCAATCGCTCGCTCACGCCACCGCCGGCGGAAGGGCCTCTACCGTAGAAGGGGGGACCTCCAGAGGAGACCGTCTAGAGCAGGGGTCGGGCAACCAAAATAACAAGACGAGATATTTATACGAAAATCAATATTTCAAGAGCTGCTCATTAAATAGCCGCGTGTGCCTCCGGAGCCACAATTTGGCGACCTCTGATTGAGAGGGTATTTGGCCTACTCTTCCACGCTGGCAAGACTTCTTAGGAGAGGTGTATTTCTGAGTCAAGATATGAATTCCTCTCCTGCGCTCCATTTAGGTAGATATCGCCTTGTTATCGAACTGCTAATTCACTCTGCCGTCCAGCTATGTGTGTGTGTGTGTGACGGATTTTGTCGATGTCTTTGTTCGCTTGTGGTTTACATTATATGGGGAATTACAACTATATGCCTACGTATGTGAGTTTTCCCATTCTTTAGCCTCCGATTGTTTCAGAACTAGATCAATGTTCCATTGATAGCGCAGCGTTGACACTCTGCTTCTCGTGTGTGTTTTAAGTGTATTTGCAAAAAATACTGTTATATTTTCAATGTATATGAAGTATTCGAAGCTTGTGTGAGGTGCGGACGTGTGGAAGTGTTTTGGCACAGTCCTAAACGGCACATCTTGCAGTGCAGGGATGCGTCCCCGATTTATTATTCCCGTTTCGTCAGAAAAGTCTGCAAATCCGAGCCTGGATACAAAATTTGGGACCGAATCGATGCGATGACGCGAGGTCACAGGGGAAGTGATGTCGCTTTCGAGAACCGTCACTTCCGCGCCGTTGTCGGCAACAGCGACGCCGTCGGGGCGACGTGGTTGACAACGGCGGCACGGCGGTGAAATTGCCCCCTTTACATCACATTTTTTGTCGACTGGGAACTCTTCCTCGAGTCGTTCACGCAGTTTACCGTTGCGTTTTTAAACCAGCAGCAAGTTGCTGTTTACGCCAGACGCGCGTTCGTTAAAAGCTTTCGTACCGTCTTCAAATAAAGTAGTTCGCATTGAAGCTGCCGCTTGTAAGTCGAGGTTTTTCTCTTAAATAAATATTTTGCATCACTTTGTCGTACCAGAACGCTCAATCCACACGCTCTGTGGGCTCTTCGCCGGATCATTGCATCGCAAGACCGAGAGAGACGGCGAAGACAGCTTGGGCAGGCCTTCATCCAGCAGCAGATAGAGCGCGGCCGCTGACGACAACGTGGCAGGTCGGCGCGAAACAATGATTTCTTCGATGAGTGTTGGCAGTAAGCGCTGAGCAGGTGCAATGCGAACCGTAAACGAGGCGCGACGGGAATCGGATCAATAATCAGTCAGTGTAAATCAGTCGGTGCGAATCAAGCGAGATGTATTGTCCCTGGCGATAACGCGCGTCGTCGTCGTAGCGAGGGGGAATGCGTAGGTAACGGGTAGATCACGTACAGGATTTTAAAAAAGGAGGCATGTGTGCACAGTCGTTTTCATAGGTCCTCTAAAAGAGTCCAATTTCGAGATCCCCCCCCCCCCCCACCAATGCATTAGTAATTTTTTTGTAACAATGGACTGCAGAAACCCCCTCAGAGTACAGCAAGGGAAGAGAAACACGGGTGATTATCAACAGCTAGTGGTTAAACAGTGGGGTGGGGCCCACCTTTCCAAGGCAGGCGTGAGGGAACATTTTCATCTGTACCCAGGGGCAGAAGAGCAACTCTCAGTGAGATGCCTTCGGCGGTCAACCATGCACATGAGCGCGTGCCCTCGGCGTTTATTCGATAACGCGGCGAGGGCTCCCACCCCCACCCCCCCCCCCCCCCCCCCCCCCCCCCCCCCCCCCCCCCCCCCCCCCCCCGTGGCGTGCGACGCCTGGGCCTGCAACTCCTCTCGCGAACGCGGCGATGTCACGGCCGGCACGAGGTGAAGCTCCTCACAGCGGCTGGACCCCGAGCGTCCGTCACTTGCAGGCTGTTACGAGGTCGCGGATTTTCATGTTGGCCACAGGCCGCGCGAAGTTCGTGGGCCGTGTGACATTAAGTTGCGGCGCTCGCTTCGCGTGGGGCCTTCAATACAGCACCTGGAGGCGGTGGAGGGTTGCTCGATCGCCCTACATGTTGTGAAATTCCCTTCCCGTGAGCATCGAGGGAGCAGCCGCCCGTGTACCCCCGGCTCGCCAAAATGTGGACGAATCTTCATCTGTTCCATCTGTTTTATATAGCGTTGCTCCCTCCCATGTGTGGCTTTTCTCCCAAGTGCTCCAGTTTCCTCCCGCGTGCATGAACACTCACGAATTGGCTGAAAACATTTCAACATATGTAGGACCGCAGAACTCTTGCGATTGTTGGCGTCGGCTCGCCCGCCCAGCTGCTTTTTCTTCCTTCCCGCTCGTTCGTGGTTTGACCTCGCGCCTCCGAGCCGTCCTGCCTCCGCGAGAGGCGAGGAGTGAATGCTGCACGGAAGCACGTCTGCGAGTTGGGAGTCATCGTTAAGCAGCGACGGGGCCACGTGAAATGGAAGTTTTGAGTCCGCATACAGCTGAAGGGTCATGATTTTTTCACGCAGAGCGATTTGATTGTACGGTGGTTGTGCGGTAATTTTTGTAATCATTACAGTTCTACCTGAACGGCAGAGCTTTCAGCAGAGCGCTGCAAATTACATCCCCCGAGAGATACACAGATAATTATCAACAGAAATAGCCCCAGCGAGCGACAATACGACAAAGTACGGGAAGGAGAATGTCATGGGTCGTACCACGCAACGTTACTGCACACGAACCCCCACCGGCCCTGTCGCGGTCACCACAGCTCCTGTAAAGGGAAAATCTCGGCTTCCAAATTCCCAACGGCACGAAGCACAACAGCCAGAGAGGAGCACGTGGAGACTGTTTCACTCTTAAGGTTGAACCGCAGCGGCTCTCGGTCCTCCGCTGCGGTGATCCAGCTCGGAGACATTCAACCCAAGGGGGTGGTGAAATGCTACCCGTATCCACCATGGGCAGTGTCCACCACTCTGCAGTGTCCACCACTCGCAGAATATACGGTGGGAGATATTTGTCACGCTCCCGCGGATGTTTCGTTCCACTTGTGGTCTTTATTAAAAAAAACCCCGATATTCTCTATCGAATACACTACGACGGTTACCCATATTAACGAACAATTTAACGTAAAAAAAAAAGCTACCACGATGACTTTGCTATCGTACGGCTTTGTGGCCTCAATATAAAAATGCTTCAGGAAAATCGCAGTTGGCACGTCCCCCTCCCCCCAGGTGGTTACCGATGGCTCGAGGACCACATGGAGAGAAGTGGAGAGATCTCAAAATATATATATTTCTTAAAGACGCCCAAAGTATAATCCCAGATGGGGAGAGGCCCTGTTGGATACGAGCCGTGGCAGTGGGGGGGACAACTACCCTACCTGCCACCCCCCCCCCCTATCTCTGCGGCCCAGAGAGGCCCAATAACAAGTCGCTCCTTTGAAAGCAGAAGCCCCCTTCCTGGGCGATTGCCTGCCAAGTGCCCATTTGCTTGGTAGATGTCTCGGTTGTATGGCGTCAGCAGTTCTTTTGTGACTTGCGATCGTCACATTTGTCCCCCCCCCCATGTCTGAGCTTTGACTCGCGTGGACATTTAACCGGACCTTGTGATACTTTCCTGATGCCACTGGACTCTGTTACCCATGTGTGTGTGTGTGCGTGTCTACGGCACCTTTATCAATCCACTGCTCGATGAAGGCTGCCCCCATGCCACTTTAATTGTTTGACCGTACTTCAGCACGCTGGTCAGTGCGGGTTGGCGAAGGCGTGGATAGCCCAGGATCCGTTAGGATATCGCGTGCCACTGATGTTGGCCGTAGCTGTGACGTGGAAGTCGTGGCCGCCGGGCTTTTAACGCACTGCGCTAGCCACTGTGCCGCTGCACGCCACCCCAAGTGCCCGAACAATGTGTAAATATTTCTGACACCTGAGGTACGACCTCTGTGTGTTCCATGTCACCCATACGCGGATTTGATGGGAGTTCCTCAGTGCCCGCAGGGCAGCTCTTAATTTGAGTCTGGTTAGAAGATGTGAAACCGGTCAAGTGCCAAGTCCTTGCAGAACCACCCTTGCTATGGCTGCGGCTACTTACTCGTCACGTCCCCAACTCCAGTCCACCGGCAAACATCACACGCACCGGTGCGGTGAAGAAATTCCTCCCCGCTGCTATACGAACTCCTGGCTCTCGTGTCGTCTGACCCTGGAGAGTCCGGGTGCCAGAGGCAGCTGAGGCCCCCACAGGGCGTACCCTGACCAGGGCCGCTCGTGGAGTCGCACGGGCCCCACCGCAGGCTCCAGCAGCGAGCGTGGCCGCTGCCGCTGCTGCTGCACCCCTCTGTGCTCCCCAGGGTCTCTGTGCCTGTAGCGCACCTCGTCGCGAGAGCAGTCGCACGACTCCGGTCCGGATAAATCGGGCGGCTCGAAGCTTGCCGCTTGCGGCGCCCTGCGGTGCTGGGCAGGCGCGATGACCATGCGGCGGCGGTCTTCATCGTGAGCAGCGACTGTAAGGCCAGCAGCGGCGATGGCAACGGCGCTGTGGTCATGGTGGTTGTTACTTTTTCTGCGATCCGCCGCCGGCCCCGGCCCGTTCCCCCCGTGCGGAGGGGTTGCCGCATTTGCGCCGTGTCGGTGCCGGCTCGACGCCTCGGCGCTGTCGCTCCCGCTTTGGCAAAACACGGACGAGGATTTGCCGTCGCGCGGTTTCGGTATCCAGCCGCCGACGTTGGCGTTCCACCGGTTTTCCGCCGGCGTGCAGGCCACGCTAAGCGGCTGGTTGGACGAGAGCAGCGGGAAGGCTTCGTACTGCTGCCGGATGCAGGCCCTGACGTCCCGGCTTCCGCGTGACCTCCCGTGACTCGGCGAGTCTGGCCGATGTCCGAGACCGGCCGGACAAGCGGCCGACGTGTCCGGGTAGACGCCGTATTCCCTGTGCGGCGACGGCTCGCTGCTGTGCCGCTGGGGTCGCGGGCCGCTCTGTTGTTTGTGCGCGTGGGTGTCCCGATCCGTGCGTTCCCAATTGGAGAGCGGGCCTTGGTCGGACACGCAGCTCTGTCTGGTGGCGCACTCGGAGTACAGAGAGTTTGAGCCGGGGATTGACAGTTTGTAGAAGTCGTCCAGGAGTCCGTTCAAATCTCCATCCGTCGCAGCCCGCCTGCCACGCACGATCTTCTGTAATGGGCACAGAGAGACGCAGCGGCGAGTCAACTCTAGCCAGCGTATTGTCGGGTTTGTGCCGCGCGTCAGTTCGGTGCGGTGTCCGACGTTTCGCTGCACAAAATGGATGCTTTTGCGTCGGACGTCGTGTCGAACAAGGACAACGCACAGTACAACTCCAAACACGTGGGGGAGCAACACAGAGGCACAACCATGCAAACCTACTCGGGCGCTCGTGTTTACGAACACGGCCTGTAAATCCAGCACTGGAGGGCGAGGATTGGTGGATCGCACCAATGTTGCGAAACTATCGTCCCGTGGGCATCGAGGTTACCATACCCTGGCTCTCCAGGAGAAGGCGGGACAGCAAGTCGACTAATCTCCATCTGCATCCATTTGTACGGGGAATAGAGCGTTGCCCCCTCGCACATGGCGTGATGTTTTTTCCGGGTGCTCCGGTTTCTCTCCCACTTGTATGATGAACATGACTCGCTATGATTAATCGGACTGAAAACATCTTACAAATTAAAATCACAATGTTAGTGGCAGGACCCTCTTGAAAAAAAGATTATTACGACTCGGTGTGTATGGATAAGTAAATTATTGTTATTGCCATCCCACGCCCTACCGCCTGCTCGATGGCCCAACCACCAGCACATGCCGCGCTGCGCCACACATGCACCTGGCCGCGTCACCTTCATGGCGCGCAGCTCGCGGGGGGGAATGCAGGACGGGTCGGGGCTGCGGTGCCGGTGGCGGGGCGCCAGCGTCTCCTGCAGGAGGCCGTGCCACTGCACGGGCAGCCCCGTGAAGCGCATGCCCTGCGGGTCGTAGCCCGTGTGCACGCGGTGCACGAAGTTGCGCGGCGCCGAGATCTCGGGCCGCCGTCGCTTGCGACCGAACATCGCACGGCCGCTCCCCGTCGAGGCCCGCGCCGCCGCCGCCGCCGCCGGGAGGCTGCGCACTTGAGTGCGGTTCTGCGGGGAAAGCCGCACGAGCACCTGCCTGGTGGTAACGAATGGAAGAGAGGGCAGAGTTATTGCGCGCGCCGGTATACTCATCCGGTGCCATGGTTCGTGATTTATTGATTTATTTGGGTGGGATGGGATGGAGTTGCTGCGGGGAGGGGGGGGAGGGAGTTTCCACCGTGTAATGATCTGTCCCCAGGGTTTTGTCGTGAAACCCTCCACTACCCAACATTCTGACTTGCTGTCTGACCTCTTTTTGCGCATGATGGCAGCTGCAGCAGCAATGTGGTTCAGAAGTTAAATGCCAAAGTCTAGGGCTGCTGCTGCTGCTGGCCACAACGAGAGGCCTTCAGGAGAGAGTTCGTGTCGTTTTGCCGTTCCTCCGTTGACTCCAGTGGGTTAACTACACGGTCCATGGTTTGGGTTGCATTGCCACAGTCGCACCACTGTGGCTCCGTCTCTTCAATTTCCCATTCACAAAGGAGATGTGTTTATCGGCCTGTTGATGATCTTCCGATGCGGTTGACGGTGGTTCCACCACCGGTGTTTTCGAGGAGGAAGAGGAATGTCAAAGCCAGGATGGTGCGATGTTATTTGTGTCTCCAATGAGACGAGATCTGGGTGAGATTCTAGTTTCTGACCTGCAGATGCCTGACGCAGTTTCAAGTGAAGCGGCCTTATACACAATATCTAATCACTACATTTGGCTGTGGGGACTGTGCTTCAACTCATCCGGGGAGTGAGCTGCAATAATAACTATTGTTAAACGCCTCGTACACGTGGGCATTTGAATTTGTTTGGCTGTGTCGGGCGGTGGAGGGACCTTAACGGCATGAATTTTGGGCGGATCGTTTCGTGGCCTTACCCAAAAGTCACACGAATCGTAAATAATGGAGGAACGTGAAAATTTAAATACACGAGACCTCGGTGACCAAAGTATTGCGTTGAACTATTTCCTTACTGCGCACTCTCAAAGATATGGGGCAAAGCACCGCACTGCCACACACGGCTCAGTCACTTCCGCCACTGCATGAGCGACGATCGTAAAGCGACAAGATTAGAAAACACGGCGCTCTTGCCGGTTCAAAACGACCCCCCCTCCCTCTAGTTCCCAATCAGTGTGGCTCAGATGCTTACACCAATGACGGATAGTTATGGAATGCGGCCCGTTTCCGAGTGGTACCATGCGTCACAACATTCATTGCGCACATAGTGGGATGCCTGTCCACTAACATGCTGTGACAACACGCATCACAACACGCTACGGAAAGCACGCGCACCACAACACGCTACGAAACATGCATAGCAACACGCTACAGAACACACGCATCACAACAAACTATTGAACACACTCATCACAACACTCTAGGCAACAGGCACGCATCACAGCACGCTCTGGAACACATGCATCACAACGCGCTCTGAAACACACACATCACAACATGATACGTAACACGCATCCCAGCACACTCTGGAACACACATGTATCACAACACGCTAGGCAACACAAATCACAACATGCTCTGCAACATACATCACAACAGGCTCTGCAACACATGCATCACAACGCGCTATGGAACGCACACGCATCACAACAAGCTTTCGAACACACGCATCACAACACACTATGGAACACACACGAATCACAACATGCTATGGAACACAAGCATCGCAATACGCTATGCAACACGAACGCATCACAACATGCTAGGGATCACACGTGCATAAAAACACGCTATAGAACACACATCACAACACGCTACAGAACACATGCATCACAACACGCTATGGAACACATGCATCACAACATACTACGGAATGCACACGCATCACAACATGCTACAGAAAACACATCACAACACGCTACGGAACACGCATCACACCACGCTATGAAACCCACATGCATCACAACACGCTAGGGAAGACACACATAAAACACGCTATGGAACACACGCCAAAAAAACACTGGAACACATACGCATCACAACAAGCTACAGAACACGCATCACACCACGCTACGAAACCCACACGCATCACAACACGCTAGGGAACACACGCACATAAAAACACGCTATGGAACACACGTCAACAAGACACTGGAACACATACGCATCACACCAAGCTACGGAACGCGCACGCATCACAACACGCTACAGAACACAAGCATCACAACACATGACAGAATGCACACGCATCACAACACGCTCTGGAACCACATCCATCACAACGCGCTCTGACGCATCACAACACGCTATGGAACACACATGCTTCAACACGGTAAGGAATACACACACACGCATCACAACACGCTACGGAACACACACTTATTGCAACACGCTTCGGAATGGACACGCGCATCACCACATGCATCACAACACGATCTGGAGCGCACACGCATCACAACATGCTCTGGAACGCACACGCATTAAAACATGCGATGGAACACACATGCATCACAAAACACGCTATGGAACACGCTTCGCAACACGCTACGGAACGCACATGCATCACAACACGCTACAGAACGTGCACACGCATCACACCACTTTTGAACACACATGCATCACAAAACCCAATGGAAGACAACATGCTATAGAACACAAGCATCACAACACGTCCTTGAGCACATGCATCACAACATGCTCTGGAACACACACGCATTATAACACTCTCTGGAACACACATGCATCACACCACGCTACGGAACACACGCCTCACAACACGCTGTGGAACACAAACGCATCACAATACGCTAGGTAACACATCACAACATGCTCTGGAACACACACATCACAAAACGCTATGGAACACACACGCATCACAACATGCTACGGAATGCACACGCATCGCAACACGCTACAGAATATGCATCACAACACGCTAGGTAACACACACACCACAACATGCTATGGAACGCACACGCATCACAACACGTTAAGGAAAACATTCATCGCAAAACGCTATGGAACGCACACGCATCACAACATGCTATGGAATGCACACAAGCATCACACCACACTATGGAACGCAGACACACCACAACACGCCATGGAACGCACACATGCATCACAACACGCTATGGAACGCACACGCATCACAACATGCTACGAAACAGACACGGATCACAACACGTTACGGAACGCACACGCATCACAGCATGCTCTGGAACACACATGCATCACAACACCCTATGGAAGACACAACATGCTATAGAACGCACACGCATCACAGCATGCTCTGGAACACACATGCATCACAACACTCTTGAACACATGCATCACAAATGATTTGGAACACACACACATCACAACACGCTAGGGAACACGCACAAATGACAACATGTTATGGAACGCACATGCATCACAACATCATACAGAACACGCATCACAACACGCTATGGTATACATGCATCACAATACGCTACGGACCGCACACGCATCACAACACGCGACAAAACGCACATGCATCACAATATGCTACGGAACGCACATGCATCACAACATGATATGGAACACATGCATCACAACACGCTATGGAATACATGCATCCCAACACGCTACAGAACACACACGCATCACAACATGCTACAGAACACACACGCATCACAACACGCTACGGAACACGCATTGTAACACGCTACAGAACGAATACACATCACAACCCGCAACCAAAAACACGCATCGCAACACGCTACGGAACGCACATGCATCACAACACGCTATTGAACACACGCATCACAACACTCTACAAAACACACATGCATCACAACACGCTACGGAATACACATGCATCACAACATGCTACGGAACGCGCACACGAATCACAACACGCTACGGAATACACATGCATCACAACATGCTACAGAGCGCGCACATGCATCACAACACGTTACGGAACGCACACGCATCACAACATGCTCTGGAACACACAAGCATCACAACATGCTCTAGAACACACACGCATTACAACACTCTTTGGAACACACATGCATCACACCACGATACGGAACACACGCATCACAATACGCTATGGAATACATGCATCACAACGCGCTATGGAACACACACGCATAGCAACACGCTACTGAACACACACATGCATAGCAACATGCTATGGCACACACACGCCTCACAACACACTTTGGAACACACATGCTATGGAACACACATGCATCACAATACGCTATGGAACACAAGCATCACAACACACTATGGAACACAAACGCATCACAATACCTTAGGTAACACACATCACAACATGCTCTGGAACACACAAGCATCACAACATGCTCTAGAACACACACGCATTACAACACTCTTTGGAACACACATGCATCACACCACGATACGGAACGCACGCATCACAATACGCTATGGAATACATGCATCACAACGCGCTATGGAACACACACGCATGGCAACACGCTACTGAACACACACATGCATAACAACATGCTATGGCACACACACGCCTCACAACACGCTTTGGAACACACATGCTATGGAACACACATGCATCACAATACACTATGGAACACAAGCATCACAATACACTATGGAACACAAACGCATCACAATACGCTAGGTAACACACATCACAACATGCTCTGGAACACATGCATCACAAAACGCTACGGAACACACACGCATCACAACATTCTATGGAACACGCATCGCAACATGCTACGGAATGCACACACAACACTCTTAGGAATGCACACACGCATCGCAACACGCTACAGAATACACACGCATCACAATACGCTGCAGAACACACATCACAATACGCTAGGGAACACACATCACAACACGCTCAGGAAAACACGCATCGCAAAACACTATGGAACGCACACGCATCACAACATGATATGGAACGACTTAAAGCTTTCGTGACTACAGGAGTTCGTATTATTTTGGTCTTTTGGTAAAGTCACATAAATTCAGGACCTACTTAATGATGGTAGCTATACCAAAATCATTAGAGATCCTACCAACTGCCTGGTTACAAAAAACAACAATACCATCACTGATTCGACATCTTCAATCGAACCAACCAAGCGGTTTTACTTAAAACCATCTGCTTCTAGACCACCCAGATTGTATGGCTTACCAAAAATCCATAAAGAAGTTCCTATTGTCTCCACCATTGACTCACCCACCTACAAACTGCCCCGATTCATGTCTGAGACCATACAACTGGTAAGACCACCTCAGCTGTACTTAACTCAGCTCACTTGGTATCGTTAATTAAGGACATCTCACTATCTGCAGGTTATTTGCTAGTTAGTTTTGATGTAGTCTCTTTGTTTACCAAAGTTCCTGTGCCTGACACCATTGCAATCATTGACGATTTGGTCCAACAAGGACTGAATGCTGATGTAGCGGCCCTGGTGAGACACTGCCTCACCAACACTTCACCTGGAATGGAACATTCTACAAACAAGTTGAAGGTACCCCAATGGGTTCTTTTTTATCTCCAGTTGTAGCCAATGTTTTAATGGAAAAATTTGAGACAGATGCCATCCAGGCATCCACTCTACGGCCGTCCTTGTGGAAGAGGTACGTAGATGACATGTTCGTCATCTGGCCACATGGCCAACCAGCTCTGAACCAATTTCTCAACCACATCAATTCCATACACCCAGCCATCAAATTCACCATGGAGGTGGAAAAGGATGGCAAGTTACCATTCTTGGATGTTTTAATCGAAAAGAGACCAGATGGCTCAATGGGACACTGTCTACAGGAAAGCCACCAATTTGGATGCTTACTTAAAACCGGACTCCCACCACCATCCATTCCAGAAGAATTCCCTCATTAAAACTGTACACCATAGAGCTCGATGTATTTCCGATCATCACCACCTAGCCAGTGAACTGGAACCTGTACACAAAGCTCTCAAGATAAATGTATATTCTGATTACACAATCCGTAAAGCTATCACCCCAACCGTTGGGAAAGAACCATCTGAGGACCCAATCAAAACCATCACCTTGCCATACATACGTAGCAGGGGCCACCAAAAAGATTTCCAAAATCATGAGCAAACACAATATCCAGGTTCGATTTAACATAGTGCATAAAATGTGTTATCTGATCCCATCTGTGAAGGATGTGATCCCTGACATGTAATACCCCGGCATCTACAAACTGAGCTGTGTCTGCGGCGGTAATTACATTGGGGATACTAAGCGACATGTCTCAGACCGTGTTCGTGAACATAAGACAGATCTGAAATATGGTAGGACCAATACCTCGGCTGATCATTGTTTTAATGCGGTGGCTCACACGAAATTGATTTCTCCAAGACGAAGGTACTCTGCAAACCCACTGGCTATCAGCAAAGATTCGTTCATGAAGCCATCCAGATATATAGACACAGACACAATTTCAACCGAGAAGATGGGTACAAACTGAGCAATCATTGGAAGGACGTTATTAACCAGTTTAAGTCATAACTGGCTGTGATGTTTCCGCTACCTTCCGATGTTAGTAGTTATTTTCGACTCTGGTTTTACATTAACAGGTTAAATGTCTCACACTAACACAGCCACCGTCGCTCGTGTCCTCGATGTGGCGGTGGCTCTGCGATCTTACATTGACAAGCTAATATCTCAGTACAATGGCCACCTCCGGCACCCTCGTCGTGGAGGTAGCTCTCCGACCTTACATTGACATGCAAATTTCTCACTTTAACATCACTAGCCCCGCCCACTTCGTTTATGCCCCATGGGCTACACCCATTTCAAACCTTAGGAACAGCCTGCCTCAGCAGCTTTCCCGCTCTTTTTTCTCCTGATGACGATTGCTTGTGTTGCGATGGAAACGTCGTAGTTTTTTGTAAAAAATTGTTCTACGTGACTTTACCGAAAGACCCAAAGAATATGATACGGAATGGACACGAATCATAACATGCTACGAAACACACACGCATCACAACACACAAAGACAATCCCCTATATAGCCTTAACAGACTGTAGGGGCAAGTGCTGTTAGCGAGCACCTATGAAGGCTGGAACGGTACACAAGGGGGTGGGTGGCCAGCACCACGCCCGACCGCCTTTGTCTCCCCAGTGGCGATGTTTACACACTGCACCATTTGAGGCTAAGTCGACCTAGGGGAGGCCCAGGACCGGCTCAGATAATCGTCACTGGTGTTGGCCGTGAACGGGAATCGAACCCGGGTCGCCGGGTTCGTAGCGCTAACCGCTTCACTACCACTACAGAACTCGCGCACACATCACAACATGCAAAAGAACACAAGCGTCACAACATACTCTGAAACACGCATGCATCACAACACTCTCTGGAACACACATACTTCAACATGCTATGGAACACAAACGCATCACAACACGCTACGGAATACACGCATCGCAACATGCTACAGAACGCACACGCATCACAACATGCTACGGAACGCACGCATCATAACATGCTACGGAATACACGCATCTCAACATGCTATGAAAGCACACGCATCACAACACGCTACGGAACGTGCATCGCAAAACGCTATGGAACGCACACGCATCACAACATGCTACGGAACACACGCATCACAACACGCTACAAAACGCACACACATCACAATACACTACAAAACACACGCGCATCAAAACATGCTCGGGAACGCGCACAAGCATCACAACATGCTACGGAACGCACACGTGTCGCAAAAAACTATGGAACACTACCCATCACAACACGCTATGGAACACACAAGCATTGCAACATGCTATGGAACACAAACGCATTACAATACGCCATGTAACACAAATCACAACATGCTCTGGAACACATGCATCGCAAAATGCTATGGAACGCACACGCATCACAACATGCTGTGAAAAGCACACGCATCGCAACACGCTATGGAACGCTCACACAACACAACACTCTATGGAATGCACACACGCATCGCAACATGCTACAGAATACACACGCATCACAATAGGCTATGAAACGCACATGCATCACAACACGCTAAGGAACACGCATCACAACACGCTATGTTACACACATCACAACACGCTCTGGAACACACGCACCACAATACTGCTATGGAATGCACACGCATCACAACACGCTACGGAATGCACACACACATCACAAGACGCTACAAAACACACACGCATCACAACACACTACGGAACGCACACGCATCGCAACACGCTACTGAACACACGCATAACAACACACTATAGCACACACACGCATCACAACACACTTTGGAACACACACCCATCGCAACACGCTGTGGAACACACAAGCATCACAAAACGCTACGGAACGCACACGCATCACAACACACTACGGAACACACGCATCACAACACACTACGGAACGCACACAACACAACACTCTACGGAATGCACACACGCATCGCAACATGCTATTGAAAACAAGCATCACAACACACTATGGAACACACAAGCATCACAAAATGCTACGGAATGCACACGCATCACAACACGCTATGGAACGCACACACAACACAACACTCTACGGAATGCACACATGCATCGCAACATGCTACAGAACACACACGCATCACAACACACTATGGAATGCACACGCATCACAACACGCTACAGAACACACACACCACAGCATGCTACGGAACGCACGCACATCACAACACGTTAAGTAACACACATCACAACATGCTCTGGAACACACGCATCACAACACGCTAGGGAACGCAAATGCATCGCAACACGCTACAGAACACGCATCACAATACGCTACGGAACACACACGCATCACAACACGATATGGAACGCACACGAATCACAACACGCTACGGAACACACATGCATCATAACACACTACGGAACTCGTGCACGCATCACAACATGCTAAAGAACACAAGCGTCACAACATGCTCTGGAACACAAACGCATCACACCACGCAATGGAACGCATCACAACACGCTATCAAACACACACGCATCACAACACGCTTCGGAACACACGCATCGCAACACGCTACGGAACGCACACGCATCATAACATGCGACGGAACAACGCATCACAACACCCTACGGAATACACGCATCACAACACGCTATGGAACGCACATGCATCACAACACGCTATGGAACACGCATCACAACACGCTAGGTAACACACATCACAATACGCTCTAAAATACACGCACCACAACATGCTATGGAATGCACACGCATCATAACATGCGACGGAACAACGCATCACAACACGCTACGGAACACGCATCACAACATGCTAGGTAACACACATCACAACACGTTCTAAAACACACGCACCACAACACTGCTATGGAACGCACACGCACCACCACACGCTCTGGAACACACGAACCACAACACTGCTATGGAACGCACACGCATCACAACACGCTCCGGAACGAAAACACATCACAACACAATACAGAACGCACACGAATCACAATACTCTTTGGAACACACACACGCATCACAACACGCTACGAAACATACATGTATCGCAACAAGTTACGGAACACACACACGTATCCCAACACGGTACGGAACGCACACGCATCACAACATTCTTCAGAACACACACGCATAACAACACCACGGAACACACACGCGTCACAACACGCAACGGAACACACAGACATCACTACACACTGCGGAACGCACACGCATCACAAAACGCTACGGAACACACACACGCATAACAACACCACGGAACACACACACACATCACAACACAACGGAACACACACACATCACAACACACTACGGAACACACACACATCACAACACCACGGAACACACACGCATCACAACACGCTACGGAACACACACACGCATCACAACACACTACGGAACACACACACGCATCACAACACACTACGGAACACACACACGCATCACAACACACTACGGAACACACACACGCATCACAACACCACGGAACACACACACGCATCACAACACGCTACGGAACACACACACATCACAACACACCACGGAACACACACACATCACAACACCACGGAACACACACACATCACAACACCACGGAACACACACACGCATCACAACACACTACGGAACACACACACGCATCACAACACACTACGGAACACACACACGCATCACAACACACTACGGAACACACACACGCATCACAACACACTACGGAACACACACACGCATCACAACACCACGGAACACACACACGCATCACAACACGCTACGGAACACACACACATCACAACACACCACGGAACACACACACACATCACAACACCACGGAACACACACACGCATCACAACACACTACGGAACACACACACGCATCACAACACCACGGAACACACACACGCATCACAACACGCTACGGAACACACACATCACAACACACCACGGAACACACACACATCACAACACACTAC